GCGACCTGGGAGGCCCGTTGGGCCGTCCTGGGGCGATCTCGAAGGCTCCTGGAGCCGTCCTGGGGCGATCTCGAGGCTTAAAACGGGGAGAACCTCAAAGTCCCAAGAAACGTGAGAAGCATCGAACATTTTGGCATCCGCGGGCCGTCCTCGGGGTCCGCGGGGGCCAGGGGGGGGGGTAAGGGTAAGGGTTCCACGTGTGTTGTTTCGATATTTCCCGACCCCCCCACACTGGAAATCGACGGTAAATTTGAGCCGTCGGGTTGGGTTGGGGTGGTTTGGTGTGTGGTGAGTCTTGGGGCTCTCCTGGGGTCCTCTTTTCGATATCTTCAGGGCCCTCTGCAGCTTCTTGGGGCCGCTGGCTAGGCCCGGCAAGGCCCGTGAATTGCGGGGGACCCTCTGCACGGGTGTCCAGGAAGTCCCGGGAGCCAAGGGGGGTTCAGATACTGAACATATGAGAATAGGCATATATCGATACTGATGTAAAGAAAAAGGAGATAGAGAGGGAGAGAGGGAGAACGAGACAGAGAGATAGACGTGAGACAGAGAGAGAGAGTGCTATAAAGAGAGACAGAGAGAGAGAGAGAGAGAGAGAGAGAGAGATAAACAAAGATAAAGAAAGAAAAGAGAGAGAGAGAGAGAAACAAAGAGAGAGAGATATAAAACAAAGAAAAAACAAAAGGGGGAGGGATATGGAATTGGAGGGATAGGAGGAAGGAAGGAACGAGAGAAAGAGAGAAATGTAGAGAAATATATAATACTGAGGACACCAGCAATGACACATATACAGAGGGCAAGAGAGATCTACACGTGTATATACTTCTAAAGAGAGAGACCGAGAGAGAGAGAGAGAGAGAGAGAGAAAGAGAGAGAGAGAGAGAGAACAAGAGAGAACGAGAGAGAGAGAGAGAGGCAGAGAGGCAGAGAGGAAAAGAAGGCCGGGAAAATGCGACAACCAACGTTCCTTCTACCCCTCCCTCCCGTCTCCCAGGGGGCGGTGCGCCACACGCGAGGCGCCGCGCGCACTGAGGTTGCGCACGCCGCGAGGCCCGAACTCGGGCCGCGGCCGGGTGAGGCGGCGTTCGCCTGGCGCGGCGGGGTGCAGCGCCGAGCTCTGCCGACGACAACGACCGACGACGACGACGACGAACGACGACCGACGACAGAAGACCGACGACGAAGACGACCAACGCGCGACGACCGACGATCCACGAAGACGACCACGACGATGTCGACCAACGCCCGACGACCGACGACCGACGACGACGACAACGACGACCAACGACCGACGACCGGCGATCGACGACGACGACAACGACGACGACCGACGACCGACGACGCAAAACGACCGACGACGACGACGACGACAGGCGACGACGACGACGACGATGGATGGACAACGACGACAACGACGACGACGACCACGTCCAACAACTGACGGCCGACGACGACGACGACGGACGACGACCGACGACAGACGACGACAACGACCAACGAACGACGACCAGTGACCGACGACGACGACGACGACGACGGACGACGACCGACGACCGACAACGACGACGGCGACGAAGAACAACGCCCAACGCCCGACGACCTACGACCGACGACGATGACGACCGACGACCGACGACGACGACGTCGCCCAACAAGCGACGACCGACGACGACGACGACGACAACGACGACGACGACGACCGACGACGACGACAACACCCAGCGACCGTCGACGACGACGACAGACGACGACAACGACGACGACCAACGCCCGACGCCCGACGACAGACGACCGACGACGCCGACGCCGACGACGACCACGACCATCGCCCGACGACGACAACCGACAAACACGACGACGACCGGTGACCAACGACGGCCAACGACCAACGACCGACGACGACGAAGGCGACGACGACGACCGACGCCCGACGACCCACGACCGACGACGACGACCACTAACGCCCGACGACCGATGACCCACGAAGACGACGACGACGCTCGACGACCGACGACCAACGACCGACGACGACGACGACGACGACGACGACGACGACGACGACGACCGACGACCGACGACGACGACGCCCAACGACCGACGACCGACGACGACGATGACGACGTCGACGGACGACGCCAACCGACGACGACGACCAACGCCTGGCGACAGACGACGATGACAACAAACGCCAGACGACCGTCGCGCGACGAAGAAAACGACGAGGCGACGATGACGACCGACGACCGACGACCACGACGACGAAAACGACCGACGACCGGTGGCAAACATGACTTGACCGACGACGACGACGACCGACGACGACGACGACGCCCAACGACCGACAACCGACGACGGACGACGACGGACGACGACGGCGACGACGGCGACGACCAACGCCGGACGACCCACGCCGGACGACCCACGACGACGACGACCGACGACGACAACGACTCCAAACAACCGACGACAAACGACGACGACGACGGACGACGACGGACGACGACCGACGATCGACGACGACCGACGCCGATCAACGCCCGACGACCCACGAATGACGAAGACGACGACAGCGACGACCAACGCCCAACGACCGACGACGACTACCGACGACCGACGCCCGACGACCCACGACGACGACGACAACGAGCAACGCCCGACGACCGACGACGACGACCGACGACAAACGCCCGACGACCGACGAAGACGACGACGACAACGACCAACGACCCACGACCGACGACGACGACGACGACCGACGACCGACGCAGACGCACAACGACCGACGACCGACGACGACGACGACGACCGACAATGACGACGCCCGACGACGACACCGACGACAACGACCCACGACTGACGACCGACGACGACGACGACCAATGCCCGACGACGAGGACGGACGACGACGACGACCAACGATCGACGACCGACGACAGACGAACAAAGACGACGACGACGACGACCAACGCACGACGCCCAACGAACGACGATCGACGACAACGACGACGACGACCGACGACCGACGACGACGACGACGACGACGACCGACGACGACGACGACGACGACGACGACCGACGACGCCCAACGACCGACGACAAACGACCGGCGACGACGCGGACGACGACGCCCGACGACCGACGATCGACGACGACGAAGACGACCAACGACCGACGACCGGCGACCGACGACGACGACGACGCCCAACGACCGACGACCGACGACGACGACGACCAACGACCGACGACGACGACGACGACGACGACGACGACGACGACGACCTACGACGACGAAGACCAGCGACGACGACCGATGAAGACGACGACGACAACGACCAACCACCAACGACCCACGACCGACGACGACGACAACGACGACCGACGACCGACGGACGACGACGACGATGACCAACGACGGACGAGCGACGACGACGACGACGACCAACGACCGACGCCAAACGATCGACGACCGACGACCGAAGACGACGACGACGACCAGCGACCACCGACGACGGACGACGCCCATCGATCGACGGCCGACGACCGACGACGACGACGACGACGACGACTGACGACCACGACGCCCAACCACCGACGACAATCGACCGACGACCGGCGACGACCGGCGACGACAAACGACCGACGAACGACGACGGCGACGACCAACGCCCCACGCCCGACGACGACGACGACGACGACGACGACGACGACAACGACGACCGACGACAACGACGACGACGACCAACGACCGACGACGACGACCAACAACCGACGAAGACGGCGACGACGACCAACGACCGACGCCTAAAGACCTACGACCAACGACGACGACGAAGACCGACGATCGACGACGACGACAACGACGATGCCCAACGACCGACGTCCGACGACAACGCTCAACAACCGACGACCGACGACAGACGACGACGACGACGACGACGACGACGACCGACGGCGAACGACTGACGACGACGACGACAAACGCCCGACGACTGACGACCGACAACCGACGATGCCGGACGACCACGACAAATGCCCGACGACGGACGACCGACGACGACGACGACCAACGCCCGACGCCTGACGACCGACGACGACGACGGACGATGACGACGACGACAACGACAAACGACCCATGACCGATGGCGACGACCGACGACCCATAAGGTATGCAAATGTATATAGATATAAATATAAATATATAGCTGTCTGTCTGCCTGTACGTATGTATGTCTATAGATGTGTGTCTATATATGTGTGTATGTATATGTTCGACGCTTCTGCTTACATCTGTCAGCAAAGCAAGATCACGAACCCTTCATGCGCGCACTCCCCAGCGCCCAGTGTTCGCCCTCGTCGCCCTCCCTTCGTCCACCAATCTCTCGCTCCATCCTGGCCCAGGCGTCCCACCACTTACCTCTCCCCATCTCTCCCCTTCCCATCCTTCTCTGCTCCTCATTCTTCCTGCCTCCTCCCCCTCCTCCCCCTCCTTTTCCCCAACTCATTATACCTCTCCATCCCCTCCGCCTTCCCCTGCTCCTCCGCTGCTTCTCCTCCTCGGCCCCTCTTGTCCTTGCCTCTTACTGTGCTTCATTCCCTCCTCGCTCGCGCCCTCTCCTGTGCTCATTGCTCATCATTCCCTGTTTCCCCGTATCTTCATCCTCCATCGGTGGACGGGCAGGGGAAGTAAGGTCAAGTTGGGACGGGGAGGCGCACGGGGAGGAGGATGGACATGAGGGCGGGAGATGATGGGGGAGGGGGCAAAGGAAGAAACAACCCGTTGGGGTCAAGTTCGTCCATCAACTAGACATAAAGGGGGGGGGGTAAAGGGGAGGAGGAAGACGGGAGAAGGGGGGAAAAGGGAGACACTCACAGGGACGGAGTGAGGGAGATAATGAAAAAGAGAAGGACCAGGAGGGCGGAAGGACGGTGGATGAAGGGAGGACGTCGTCGTCGCCGCTGCCACCAGGAGCACAACCACACGACGGGGCGCGCGCGCGCGCCTCTCAGAAGGTGGACTCTTCCGCCTGCTGCTGGAGCTCCTCGGGGAACGGGCGGATCCCGTATGATCCCGATGCCCTCCTCTTTCCCGTTGCCGCTGCTCTGCGCCCTCCTTTCTCGTTCCATCTCGCCCGCCATCCTCCATCCTCCAGCCTCGTCCTCCTCCTCGTCCTGCCTCCTCGTAATCGACCTCATCTCCTCCACGTCCGTCTCCCTCGTGGCTGCTCCCCCTCCGCCGGCACCTCCTGCACCTCCCCCCTCCCTCCTAGAGCCTGCTGACTCGTCCTCCCTACCCCTTCGCCTGCACCTCCTCCTCCAGCTCCTCCTCCTCCTCCTCCTCCTCCTCCTCCTCCCCTTCTCCTCCGCCTCCGCCTCCTCCTCCTCCTCCTCCTCCCCCGCCTCCTCCTCCTCCTCCTCCTCCCTGCTGGAGCCTGCTGCCTCCTCCTCCCTACCCCTCTTCGCCCTCACTGCTCCCTCCCCGTTCCCCTTCCCCCCTGCCCCAGCTCCTCCTCCTCCCCCCTCTCCTCCTCGTCCTCCTCCTCCTCCTCCATCCTCCCCCTCCCTCCTCCTCCCTCCTCCTCCTCCTCCTCCTCCTCCTCCTCCTCCTGCTGGGAGAGAGAGAGAGAGAAAAGAAAAAAAGAGGGGGAGAGAGAGAGAGAGAGAGCACACGCACGAATTTTTCTGGGGCACGAACCCGTCGAACACGTGTGAAAGAGCAGGGTGGGTCCACAACCTCCTGGGGAGCTACTGCAGGGCCACGGGGGTCCAATCGGGGAGTGTATTCGTGGACCTCAGCAATGTCTACGAAACCATTGCACATCAAAACTCGTATCATGCTGCACGCACGCTCGTGTTTCCCATCCGTGTCCTGCGTGGTTTGTGCTGCACGTATGCTGGACACTGCTGTTGTACGGCGGCGGAGTGTCTGCCTCCTTGCGCGACAATGGGACAGTGATCGCAGGCTGATCAGGGGCCACGACGGTGGCAAAGTTGTTGCTTCTCGGCCCCCTCCTCCGAGCGAGAGCAGAGCGACGATGCTCTACATCAGGAATGTTGTCGATGACGTTGCGTTGCAAGTAGCTAGCGCTCTCGTGAGAGGTGTCAACTCGCTATTCCAGGACTTTGAAAAGCTGCGGCTCCCCTATCGCCCTGAAGAGCACGAAGTACCTCTGCTCGGCGGAGGTCGACAAGCTCGTGCAGGGCTAGCGGCCCCTCTACCCCTCGAGTCGTGTCGATCACCATCGGAACCTCGGAACGGATGCTGGCTTGGGAGGTGTGCGTCGAGTGGGCATCGCGAGGGCCAGGTTCGTCGCGGCTCGATCCAAGACTCGTCGTCTTCAACTTCTGAGGGAAGCGGGGGCTGATATCGCTCTTGTTCAGAGAATGGGGGCCACAGCCTCAGCCCTATAAGGCAACAGTGTTGTAGGAGGGGCCTCACCGGCCATGCATGGGCTCCGCATATCAGCGGTTCACAGTGCGGGGAGGCACCCCAAGGGAGCCAGCCTGGGCATTCGGCTCCACTCGTTTCGCTTAGGTTTTATCTGTGATCCTATGGTGGCCTACACGGGCCATGTGATGTTCCAGTGGGCGACGGCTGTCTGGGATGGGTACCCGAAGGCCCACATCCCAGAGGCCACGATGGCAGCGGCGACCTCCAGAGCAGCTGACAAGAAGCACCCTTGGAGAGGGGCGGCTTCGCCTGCCGATGTGGCCTACTTGTCGCTCGCTCGTATCGGTTGGTTTTCCCTCGGCAGCTCGCAGATTGTCAGTGACCTTGGAGCTTGCTGCAGCTGGCACCGATGGAAGCTAGAGCCTTCGTGCGCGACGCGGCCGTGAGGGCCGCGTCGCGCACGAAGGTGTCTCTGGGCCGCTCGAGGGAAGTCGGCTACGTGGGCGGCCCAGCACCAGGGATCTTTCAGAAGTTTAGTGTGCAGTGCGCACTGGCCGCAAGCCAGAGCACGTGGTCACGGTCTCCACCCCTCCTTGTGCTGCCGCCTTTGCCAAGGGGCGCCAGGAACCCTGTGGCAACGTCAGTGCGATTGCCCAGCTCGTGCCACCCTGCGCAGGTGTGGAGCCTCGAGCTGGCTGCGGGCGGGCACGGGCGGGGAGGGCGTTGGAGGCTGGGCTGGAGGTGGGAGGGGGACTCGCGCGAGGGGTGTTTCCCTCACCTCCTGTCGTTGTGCCAGCATCTGAGCCTGACCACCCAGTGCACTGGATCAACATGCCAGCGACAGGGCGGCTCACGGGATGCATCTTTTCAGACGGCCCGGCGGTGCACGCACCTTCATGGAGTGGCGCGCGCAGGCTGGGCGCTCGCGCGGGTGGCTCGTCTAGGCCAAGCGGTTTCAGCGGCCTACGGGCCCGTCCCGCTGTCCCTGGGGCCTCGGCAGACCTCCAAGGCTGGCGAGGGCTCCGCAGTACACATGCTTACATAGATAGGCAATGCCCCCTTTCGGGCTGTTTCCACCCGCAGACCTGGCTCTGGGACCTCCGCGGGGGCTCCTCGAGGGCATCTGTGGTCCCCATCCTGGAGCAGCTCTGAGAGGAGCGACTGTGAGGCCCACAAGACTTTGGCTCATGCGTCGGCGCTGGACGTTGATCGAGGCCTCACCACGTGGTGGGAAACACGTGCCGACGAGAGTGCTGACACGTATGCCGAGGCTGGTGCCAGGATGCCTAGAGCTGAGCGGAAGCATGCCGATGTGGTAGCAGGGTCTCGATTCCTCGCCCTGGAGGCAGGACCGTGGGCCGGCTCCCTCGAGGCTCACCTCAGCCAGGTGACGGCGCCCAGGCCCGACGCGGCAGGTCTGGGCGCGAGGACCGGGTGGAGCCCGAGGCCGAGCGGGCCCAGGCCCCCGAGGAGCAGCCGCCCGAGGACGGGCCGCCCGCTGGGGCCGGAGGAGACGGCGGGAGGGGGGAGTTGGGCGCGTCGGAGTGGGGTGGAGGCGGGAGGGGAGACGGTCTCTGGCCTGAGATGGCCCCTTCGGCGAGTCTCGTCTGGGGCCACGCCCTGCTGAAGTGCGCGTACGGCGTCCCCCTCACACGTGGGGCCTGTGGCTCACGTTGTGTTTCCGATGGGGGGCTTATTGTTCGGGCTTCCGTCCTGGCGCTGCGCTCAGGAGCAAGTGCAAGGGAGTCCCAGCTAGCCTTGGCATCAAGTCGCAGTTAGAACGGATTGGCCGAGGAAGACATCCTCACTATCGTGCGTCCACCAAAGACCTGAAACTAGCCCTCCCAGAACCGTTGAGTTTGGAAGAGAGGCTAGTGATGCGTCAGGCGATTTTGTTCGAAGCGTCCCCTGGTTCGGCGAGCTGCCCTCTCCGAGAGGCCCATGAGGCCCCGGGTTTTGCGTCCGAGTGTGTTGTCCTGGAGGCTTGTGGACTCCTTCCCTCGGACTTGGAGAGAGTGCAGGCGCTCGGGGAGACGTCCCGTCGAGGGGGGTCGGATATCGATTCTGACCCCGATTCCGACGGGAGCGAGTTGTTTTAGTTACTGCGTTCACGCGATCCACAACCACAACCTCCTCCTCCTGCTCCTCCTCCCCCCTCCTCATCCTCAACAATCTCCTCCTCAATTCTTCGAAAGGGCTCTCGGGCTTGGACGAAGGGATAGTCTCGGGCGAAGCGAATTACGGGCGAAGCGAGGGCCGGCGGGGCGTGTCTTGCCACCCTCGACCAGTCCTCCGATATCTTCTCCTTCTCGAGCCACTGCAGGAACTGGGCGCGGGCAGAATCGGGCGAAGGCCCCCCTTTGTCCCGCCAGGGACGATACTGGTGATGGGGATGATGATGATGATGATGATGATGATGATGATGATGATGATGATGATGATGATGATGATGATGACGATGATGATGATGATGACGATGATGATGATGATGATGATGATGATGATGATGATGATGAGGGTGAAGACAATGATGCTGAGGACAGTGATGCTGAGGATGATGATGCTGATGCTGATGAGGCTGATGATGATGATGCTGATGGTGATAGTGATGATGGTAGTGGTGGTGATGATGATGATGATGATGATGATGATGATGAGACTTGAGGCATGACGGATGAAGAGGAGCTAGGAGGGCAACCGTAGTGGGAGGAGGGAAGAGAAGGGAGGATGCATGAGGGTCAGGGAGGATGATGAGCAGGTGCGAGGGCAGTAGGTATTAGGATGTATTCGGAGGAGGCGGGTGATGGTATAGAAAGCAGGAGGGGATTGAGAATGACAAGACATAGCGGCGGGCAGGAGGAGGGGGATCACGAAACATGTTTGACACCACACTTGAACTGTGTCATGTATGATTGTGGACACCCAGGTCGAAGGGAGAGAGAGATCGAGAGACACACAGGGTGGGGAATGGAGAAGGAGGACGATGGGGAGGAGGAGGAGGAGGATGAGGAGGAGGAGGAGGAGGAAACAGAGAGGGAGGAGAGGGTGGACCAGGAGGTTCCAGGATGTAGGTTGCTCTAGGGGGCATTGGCGGCCCCATTTGCAGTTTGATTGGCTCCCGGGGGTTTCTGGAGGAGGAATGACAATGGCAGAGGATCATGTAGCATTGCAGCTAGACCACAGCGCCTCATTTAAGCCCAGGTGTGCGATCGCGACAATCTTGACAGAGGCCGGTGATTGGTCCATGAGAGGCTCAATCAATCGGATTCGGCCATACGGGTGCTTATATATAGATGCGGCAAGACTCGCCTCTTCTACGATGAAAGCAACATGCTCCGCTCGAGTCTGCCGCAACTTCTCCTACCTCAGCCAACTGGGTGCTCTTCGCCAGCGCGCCGAAACTCGTCCCGAGACTTGGGGGAACCACTAAGCGTAGTAGATCTGCTGGAGGACACCCTGGAGCCGACGAGCCAAGACGAATGCTCACGATCATCCCACCAGGCGGTTCAATGAAGGCCGACCTTGCACGGATCAGCGCATCTACCACATCCCCCCGCGGGGTCTGCGCACTCTGGGAATCTATGGAACATGGTGCTGGATATTGACATGGCGTGACTTGCTACCCTGGCAGCGCAGCGGTGACTGGTCCTCACGATTAGGACCTTGCATCAAATATGGCATGCCTTCCGAACGTCCTCAAATAGAACGAGTTTCCTGTATTGCTGGTATGGCAGGTGTCTCCAGCACTTGTCAATCCCGAAGGAGAGGAACAAATCCCCATCAATGCAATACTGCGACTCAGGTGGTGAGAAATCTTAGGCTTCAACTACGGTGACACATGTGATCTGCTTCAAACCATCTGAGAAACGTCGATACCGTCAAGATCCGTGCGCTTGCTCTTTAGAACCCGCCAACCCCCTCTAGAGGCGTCTGCGTTTGACATTGTGCTGGACTGCAAGAATCGCAATCCGTTGAATCTGCCTCGAATCATCTGGGCAACGTCGATGTTGTCGAGCTCCACGGGCTTGTGTTTCAGAGCCCGCCGTGTCCCCTTCTGGGGGCTGTGGTGCTGGACGGCGACGTGGTGTCGGACTGCTCGTGCTGGACTGTGGCGTGTTGCTGGAATACTGCCTTGCTCGCGTCATCATGTGCTCCCTGTCATGTTCAGTCTCCCCCTCTCGTGACTGCCCCTCCTCCTCCTCCTCCTCCTCCTCCTGCTTCCGCATGCTTCTGCCCTTAATGCTCCTCTTCTTCCTCCTCCTCCTCCTCCTCCTCCCTCCAGCCCCCCCCTTATGGGGGCTCGCAAAACAAAACAAGCGTGCCCGAAAAGATGGCCCAACGCCCTGTCCGCTCAACGTCGCCCAAGGACTCCCGCAGGAATGCCTGCAGAGAGCCAGCAGGGCACAAGTGTCGAAGCAGGGCGAGTTGAGACTACGGCAACTTAAACTCGGTCCCTGGACCCCTCCCGGGGTCCAAACGCACCAGCTGTCAGAGCTGCGGCCAGCGTGGCGAAGAGGGCTCCCCCCAAAGCCAACTGCCGTCGCCTCAACTCCCCCAGCTCGAAACGTGTCACAACAGAACTGCAGAAGGCCCCAACCGGGCCCCCTAAAGAAGCGCCGATGAGAGTACAAGATTGTCCGACACGGCTCTCAAAAAGGACTAGACCCATACACAAAGAAGCCGAGAAACCTATCATGCCGCAAAGCCGAAGAGGCCCTCCAGAGAGTTCCAAGACGGCTCGAGGTGGCCAAGCATCTCCTCAATCGCCCCTCCCAAGGAACCACTCGACTCCGAACAGCAGCAAACTGTTGCCATCGCTGCTTGCTTCTGAGACCTCGCCCTCCTCCCTACCGTCCCCCGTCATCCGCCCCCTCCTCATGTGCCACGCGCGGCCTTATCAACGCACCCGCCCCTCACTTCCTCCACCACCCTCCCCCTTCTCATCCACGTGGGCCCGCCGCGCCCGTGACCGTGTCCCTCTCCGTCGCCCTTCCTGCTCCGCCTCCACATCCTCCTCTTGCCAATCTGCTCCTGCTCCTCCGGCTGATCGCAACTCGTCTCCAGCAACAGGAGCCTTCGTGAAGTTGTCGTAGAAAGGCTGGCGGGCGACTATCTCCAGATTATTGTGGCCGCCTTGGCACCCGAGTCTGAAAGAAGTGCTGCAAATCGGCGGGGGGGGGAAGGGGGAGGGAGAGACGGCATGGGAAACAGGGATGGGAGAACGGAGCGAGCAGTGGGATGGACAGGGGAGATCGAGAAAGAGCGAACAGGAGGAGTAGGAGGAGGAGGAGGAGGAGGAGGAGGAGGAGGAGGATAACTGGGCACAGAGCAAGAGTCTGCTAACGAGGAAGAGGGGAGAAGGGGGATGGGGAGGTTTTTGCGGGCGTGGTTGGTGGAGAAGCGACGGTGCACTCCCTGCGAGCAGAGGATGACGGTGAGGAACCGCGGGGGAGAGGATTCAGAGGAGGAAACAGGTACCAATAATCGAATGATTACGATCAGGTATAAGGCACCGCATCTACGAGGTACAATATGAGTGGGCCAGGTACTGGGGAGCATCAGGAACAGTTATAAGAAACATGCGTGGAAGGTGCAAGGTGAATGGGTGGGGAGGAACACATCTCAGAGCAGGGTCTGCTGATGAACATGAAGGTGGACTGGGAGGATCAACTGGTGCGGGGAATAAGGTGGGTCGAGAAACTTGTCGGGAAAACGCATGAGGAGCAAACGTAGGGAATGAACGGCGGCAGAAGAAAATCAGATGTGCCATGATACATCAAGCACCCAAAAAATCGACGCCAATTATACCCCCCCTGACGGAAGTTGAATAGATGGGAAAACGTGGAGGACGAAGAAGCGGTACAGGCGAGAGAAAAACAGGCTGGGGAGGGTGGAGAAAACGCGGAAGAGGCGGATACAACTGAGGACGGTAGACAAAAGTGGATGAGGAAGGGGGTGGCTGAGGAGGAGCACGGGGAGGGGTGGGGAGAGAAGAAGTAGCTACGGGGGGACGAAAATGAAGAATAAGGGTGACCAGACCAAACCCAACACACACACACACATCGCTGATGACGCAATGCGCCCTCCGTTCCCAACCCCGCCTCAATGAAAACCGGAGATCCACCGTGTGAGCTTTAAAGAGTTTAGCGGGACGGGGGGGTGCAAGGGGAAAAGGGGGCGGGGGCTGAACAACGGAGAGCGGGATGTGCAACTCTTGCAAAACAAACTCTCTGAAGACACGCTGGAGGGATGGCGGCTTCCCAGGCTGGATGATTTGCATTTGCATGGAACACTTTTGTAGATGGGGCTGGATTTCGGCCGTGATTTATATATTAGGGCGATGTGCAGCAACCGTAGACTGCCCACCTGGGTTGGAGGCGCAAGCCGCTTCCCTCATTATTTTACACGCATAGAAGCATTTCCAACTTCGCAACGCACTGTCGCGCGCATGCTTGCGAGCCCGGGTGTCGATCTGTCACACTGGTGACGCAACAACCACCCGCTCACATGTGGCAGAGGCCTCGACCCTCTCATGCAGATGCGCGCTCCTTCGCCTCGTCATAAGTCTCCTTCGGCTTCTTGTGCACGGGTGTCCCTTTCGCAAAGCTCGCGGTTCCAGGTATATGCCGAAATCACCCCGCACTTTCGCGACACTGTCCTTGTACGGTTGAATACGCGTCGCGTTATCCACGCCAACGGGCTTCGCTTTGAGACGCTTCGGGCTAATATTCCCAAGCTACTTCGCTGTTATATCAGGCAGGGCTCCGCGACGCTCTCGACGCGCTCTTCCTCTGCAGGACCTGTCCGGCGACACCCGCTGCAACTATGCATCGTTCTAAGTGTTCCAAGCTCGCAGAGAGTCTGCAACCCACTCGATTCCACCCAATCTGTTTCAGGGCTCCGTCTCCGTCCTCACATCCACAAGGATACCTAATATCAATGTACCGCGAAAATGCCTTCCGAGCCTTGCTTACACGCAGTGCTCGGCTCAATACTTCCGAATGCCGAGCGAGGGAGGCACGCAGGTGCCCTCTCAACTCACTCATGGGCTTGGCCAATCCCGCCTTTTGATTCATTCCATGTGGCTGCGGTGGCACTGCTCGCTATTGTCCTATCTGCCTCCTCCTCATCGTTATTCTCCTCCTCCTCTCCCTCCTCTTCCTCCTCCTCCTCCCTCTTCCTCTTTCTCTTCCGCCTCATCCGCCTATTCGTTGTCCTCCTCCCTCCTCCTCCCTCCCCCTCCCCCTCCCCCTCTCCCTCCTTCCCCTCCTGCCCATGCACCGCGCGTCTTCGCCAAGCGGCAGGAGGACTCAGGAGGCCCTCGTCGGACACGGCTGGGTTGGATCGATTGCGGTCGCCCTTCGCCGCCGCGCCGGATTCGGCTAAGCGCGGGTCGCGGGGGGGTCTCCGCCCGCGCTTGGAAGGCGCCCCCCCTCGCCCAAAGAGCGCCGCGACTTCGCCTGCGTGGTCGCCGACACCTCCCACATCGACGCCGTGCCGTGCGCCGCGTGCGGTGCCGCGTCGCGCCGCCCGCGTCCGGGGCCGGATGCCAAGTGCCGGCGACGCGAGAAGCCCAGTCGGGCTGGCAAGGCCCTGGCGGGCGTCCCGAGGCCCGCTGGCTGGGCAGTCCGGGGGGCTTTGGAGGCACTCGTCGGGTTCTCTGGGCCTCTCCGTGGCTCTTCCCCGAGCCCGGGCAGTCCGGGGGGGTCTGGGGGCACTCGTCGGGCTCTTTTGGCCTCTCTGTAGCTCTTCTCCGAGCCCAGGGCGGGTTGCCAAGTGCCGGCGACGCGAGAAGTCCAGTCGGGCTGGCCGGGCCCCAGCGGGCACTTGGGTCACTGCAAGCACGCCCAGGGGTCACTGTAAGCGAACCCCCGATGCGCGCTGGAGTACTCCCGGCGGAACGGGAATTCGCACGTCCCATCGTTTTCTTGAAACCAAAGGTTGCACATTACTCGCGGCGTGCAGTTCCAGGGATGCGCCGCGTATCGCACAATCGTTGGGCACTCCACGCGGTGCAACCACTTTCCTTCTCGATTCAGACGCGCGCCGCATGGATGGTCAACCCCCACGATAAATACGTACAGCGCAAGTGCATGGATCAGCACGGAGCTGAAAAAAACGCAAGCGCTGCTCGATGACAACCGACCCGGAACGCGGGGGAGGTCAGGCGAGGAATGGAGGAGGCGGAGTGAAGGGGGGCAAGGAGGTGGTGGTGGTGGTGGTGGTGGTGGTGGTGGTGGTGGTGGTGGTGGTGGTGGTGGTGGTGGTGGTGGTGGTGGCTGGCCATGAAGGCGGGTTAGGACAAGTCCTCATCGGAGGCCTCCGGGTCATTATCGGTGCTCGGGTCATTATCGGAGGCTTCCGGGTCACATCGAGTCCCTGCCGCCCGACTGGCCGAGCTCCTTCACTCGGTCCAGCTCGGCGGCATGTAGCCCCAAGGCCGCGAGGACGGATGCCTGCGGGGGCAAGCCGACACACACTGCCGCGGCGGTCCTGCACGTGGCGGAGCCCGAGGGGGGGGGGCAAGGAGGAACAAGCGTTTACAGTAAGAGGGAGGAGCGAGGCAGCAGACCGACGGGCCCCGCGGGTACGGCCCTGGGGCGCGGGATGCCACTCGCGGCGGGGTGTTATCCCAGCAGGGGCGGTGGGCATCCTCATGGGGGCCCCGGGAGGCGTCAGAGTGCCCACCAGGCGCCCCTGAATGAGCTCGTGCTCCCAGGTCCCTTGCGGTTGCCTGTCCAGCTTGTCCGGCTTTTCCGACGCTTGCTCCTTGCCCCCGCCCCCCCCATCCTTCCTATCCACCTCGTTCCGCCCTCCCTTGCCGTTCCCCTTCCCTCCTCCTCCTCCTCCTCCTCCTCCTCCTCCTCCTCCTCCTCCTCCTCCTGCCACCCCTCTCTGACAATGAAGTGCAATTCGAATCGGCTTGAACATTTAGGCCGACCCTGCAACCCCCCTCCTTCGGATCCCCAACTCGGGCCGTCCCGCTCGCCCCCCTGCGGCGGAGCGACGCTCGATCCTTGCTCGCGGCGGGCCACCTCAAGGGGGTCGTTCGATTGTGGCGCAGTTTGCCATGCATCGTGACTTGTTTTTTTGTCGGGGGGGGGAATTCGCTGCAGCGGTGGTGGGAAAAAACCGGTGCGGACTCCCGAGCCTTCCCCGCCCTCTCGCGCTGTCGAGCAACGTCGGGCTGGCAATGTCCTGTCGGGCAGGGGCCACAGCAAGCAAACCCCCGCCGTGCGCGGGAGTACTCCAAATATTCCCCGTCCTCTCGCGCTGTCGCCCAGCGTCCGGACTTGCGGGTCGCTGCGAGAGGAGGCTCCCGGGGAGACTGCCGAGAAGGCAACCAAAGGCAACTCAGAAAGCTGCCGGAGAGGCAGCCGAGAAGGCAGCCAAAAGGCGGCCAAGATAGCAGCCAAGAGGCAGCTCAGAAAGCAGCTGGAGAGGAAACCAAGAAGACAGCCAACAAGGCAGCCAAGAGGCAGCTGGAAGGCAGCCGAAAGCACCCAAAAGGCAGCCGGGCAAGGTGGCCAAGAACGCAGCCAAAGAGGCTGCCCAGAAGGCAGTCAGAGAGAAAGCCAAGAAACCAGCGAATAGAGGGCAACCCGAGAGGCAAGAAGGAACGCAGCCAAGAGGCCGCGAAAAACGCAGCCAAGGAGGACAGCCGCGAGGTAGCCGCGAGGCAGCCGGGAAGGGAGCCAAGAGGCAGCCAAGAGGCAGTCAAGAGACAACCACGAAGCCACCAACCTCAGGCAGCCGAGGAGGCAGCCGGAGAGGCAGCCAGGATGGCAGCCAAAAGGCAGCAGTGCACTCCGATGTGCGGGTTCGGCGATTCGTCGGGAAATCGCCACGGGGATGCCACGTGTCTGGGAGGGGCCCCGCGGCCGGCCGGGCGGCTGATGCAAGCCAGACGCAGCCGCCTCAAAAGACTCTGCAGTACTTCGTCGACTTCGCCCGAGTGCGCGCGCCGAGCTCTAGGGCAATAGGTGCAACTTGCAATGGGAAAGGGAAAGCGCGAATTTTCATTTGCCACTTTTGCGCGGGTCTTGCCTCGCGGCAACATTGATTACTTGATCTGCGCATTCTCTTCGACAAGCAGCGATCGCCGAACTCCGGAGCACCTGCCGCGCTCTGGCCGCGCGGCAACCGAATTTCTGTAGCCTCTACGCAAACAAGGGGGATCTGCTTTCCGCGGAAAGGAAAAAACTTGCAAGGAAAAGGGGGCGTGCAGTTTTGGATGCCCCGCGAATTCCTGCAGACTCTACGCAAAGAAAGGGGATCTGCTTCCCGCGGAAAGGAAACAACTGGCGGGGGGAAGGGGGGCGTGCAGCTTTGGATGCCCCGCCCGAGGCCTCGGCGCGGCAGAGGTGGGGGCAGCCCCGCGAGCGGCTGCCGCGAAAGGAAAGCCGCCAATCAGACTGCTGGCGAGGCAACCGCGCAGGGGGATCCAAAACCAAGGGCGTGTCCGGAGCACTCTGGAGCGCTCCGTCGCGGGTCTCACGCACTCCCGTAGAGGGCAGAAAATCCACCCCGATAATAACCACTCCGACACGCGAAGCCGTTTAGTAAACGCGCCCAAAGAAGAAATCGAACAGGGCAGGGCTGTTTAGTAAACGCCCAAGGCCGTTTAATAAACACCACTTGTCTGGTCCGGTTGGTGGCCCTGACCTCTTCCCGGTATGCTCAGAAGACGCTCTTTTGCCTGACTGTTGTGCATGCTTAGCGTCGCATCTTCAAACGCAAACGCGCGACGCTCAAGTACGAACCATACGTTTGACAACGTCGCGCCGTAATATTCGGCAAACTGCCCGAGCCGCCCTACAGTCTTGCCACCTTCCAACAGAAGACCCCCCGAAAACCTGGAAGAACTGCCCGCTCGGGGCCTCTTCTGATGCTCTGGTCCTCGTGGGCCTCCCGAGGGGATTCCGAGAGCGACTCCAACTGCACCCAGCCATTCACATCTTCCCCACACAATGTCTACACGCAAGGGCTCTCTCTCTCTCTCTCTTTCTTTTCTCCCTCTCCCTCTCTCTCTCTCTCTCTCTTTCCACCCTTACAAGGATGGGAAGGGTATGCCAGGGTCTCGCCTGGTGCCTGGTTGGCGCCCGCCCGTGAGCGCCTCGTTAGGGGGCCCACAAAGGACGTACGCGCCCAGCTATGTACATGAACGCGGCCCCTCGGCGAGACTGGCCGCGTAAGACGAACATTCGGGCAATGCGTACTCTCGAAACCAGCGCGGAGTCATGTTCGTGTACGTCCTCCTTTCGCTCCGGACTCGTGGGCGCCCCGCGCTGGGGGAATGCATGCCCGGGCCTCGGCTGGCGCCCGCCCGTAGGCGCCTTCCCAGGCGGTCTCTGCCGAGGTCTCGCCCGGTACGGGCCCGCGGGCGCCCCGTGGCCGCCCCGTGCGCCCGCGCAGACCGCAAGGGGCCCCAAGGACACACAGACAAGTACACACACAAATAACAGGATTCCCCACATGTTCCCATGTTTTCTGGGTTCCCGAACGCATCGTGCGGTGCGCATGCGTTGAGCCAAGACTGCATGCTGTTGTCTGAGACCCCCTTGCAACATGTGCTTTACGGGGCACCTGCGCGCACCGCCGCGCGCGCACTTCAAAATCCTTCAAACACACAATTGACTTCTGAATAGAAAACAGCTTCGAGGCACAGCTAGCCCGCAGCTATCAACAGCCACTTTTGTCCAACAGTAGAGTTGCCAGAATTCTCCGCGCGCGCTCGCTCAAAGCTTCAGGAACGATGCTTTTGAGCCATTCGGTCGAATCAGGGCGTTCGGGCCACTTGCGCGCGCATGTCGAACACGTTCAACCACCACTGCGAGCCCGCAAGCACTACAATCAAATATTACAATACTGGCAACACGCAGGAAGGTACTTGGGACGGGAAGGTGCATTGCAACATCGTTGATGCATGCTGGGTTTACTGCGGTCCCTCCTACTCCTCATCCATCCTCCTCCTTTCAACTTCCCCCACATCCGCCTCGTTTACGTCAGGCGAACTTAGATCAGCTAAGATCGTAGCGTGTGTCCACCTCCTCCTCCTCCTCCTCCTCCTTCCACTCCTCCTCCTCCTACTCCTCGTCGTCCCTCCTGCTTGCTCCTCACCCCCCTCCTCTTCGCCCCCCCCCCCGAGCCATTCTCGACGATGAACGGCGGGTAGGCGACCCCCTGCCTGGGCGCCACGGGCGGCGGTTAGGGTGGGGGGATCGTCGTTCTCGTCGTCGTCGTCGTCGCCGCCGCCATCGCCGTTGCCGTCAACTTGACCGTCGCCGTTGCCGTTGCAGTCGCCGTCGCCGTCGCAGTCGCCGTCGTCGTCGTCGTCGCTGTCATCGTCGCCGTCGCCGTCGTCAACGCCGTCGTCAACGCCGTCGTCAACGCCGTCGCCGACGCCGTCGCCATCGCCGTTGCCTTCGTCGTCGTCTTCGCCGTCGTCAGCGCCGATTGTTCTTCGTCGCCGCTGTCGCCGTCAACGCCCCTCGCCACCGTCGAAGGGGACAGAAGGAGGTGGACAACTAGATGAGGGGCAATATGACGAAGCAAGACAAAGACGAGTATGGAATGGGAGACGGAGGACGGTGCCGCAGGGGGGAAGGGCACCCGCTCGCCTCAGCTGCCTGCCACTCTTCGGCGCAAGCGGGGAGGTCAGGAGGAGGAGGCGGACGACGACGACGACAATCTACGGCGACGCTACCACTCAGCGTACTGCGCTCACAGAGGTTCAGAATAGGAAAGGGAGGAGGCGGTTGATGACGAGGAGAAGGTGGACAACGAGGGATGTCAGCATTATTCTAAAGCAAACTCTCGCCAGGGGGCTGGCACTGCACCCAGTCCTCCTCCTCCTCCTCCTACCCCTCCCCCTCCCCCTCCCCCTCCTCCTACCCTCCTCCTCCTCCTCCTCCTCCTCCTCCTCCTCCTCCTCCTCCATCCTCCCCTCCTCCTCCTCCTCCTCCTCCTCCTGTCCTCCTCCTCTTCTTCCTCCTCCCAACCATCCTCCTCTCCCTCCCTCTCCCCCCCTCTCTATCTCGATCCCTCTCTCTCCACCCCTCTGCCTCCCTCCCTGCCTCCCTTCCTCCCTACAGGGCTGAATGGCCGCATGACCGAGGGCAGCCGCTGCGCAAGGCGTGCGCACGAGCAGCGATCCCCCAACGCAGCCAGGCAGCCTCGCACCCCCCACGGGAAAGAACAGGACGAGGAGGCGGGGGCACACCGCTCGGGCCACATCTCTCGGGCCACACCCCTCGGGCCACAGCCCTCGGGCCAACTTCGACAAGAGGCCGGCTCGGGACTTCAACACAACCCATTGACGGCCACCCTGCGGGGGGCACCCGTGGACCCGCCAAGACTGCCACGTCCGCGGGCGACGGGGACCCAATATGAGGAGGACTGGGCGGGGTAAGTCCAAGGCGCATCAACGATGTTGCAATGTTAGCCAACCGTGGACCCCAAACAATGTGAGTTCCAGCATACCATGTGGTACAACACATGTGGTGCAGTCTATGCGGTGCAACTCACTTTGACCGTCTTGAAGCTGTCCTCTCCACTGCTCGTGCAAACATCCCACCCTCCCACCCGCAACTTGGTCGCCAGACCTCTTCAGACAAGACCGTGACGGTAGGTACCACATGGCACTTGGCCACGACACCGACGCCGACAACGACAGCGACAGCGACGACGACGGCGCCGCCGACACCGACTACGACGACACCGACGACGTCTCCAATGACTTCGACGACGACAACGACGACGACGACGACGACGACACCCACGACGACGACGACAACGACGCCGACGACGCCGCCGATGACAACGCCGACGACGACGACGCCGACGACGCCGACGACGAAGACAACGACGACGACGACAACGACGCCGCCAACGAAGACGACGACGACGAGGGAGGAGGGAGGACGACGACGACGACAACGACGAAGAAGGAGGGAGGACGGCGACGCCGACGACGGCAACGACGAGGGAGGAGGGAAGACGACGACGACGACGACGGCGACGAAATAGAAGGGTCGACGACGAGACGCCGACGACGGACGACGACGTCGAGGGAAGAGGAAACGACGACCACGGCGACAACGACGACGGAAACGACGACGACGCCAAGACGACGATGACGAGGAAAGACAGAGAACGACGACGCCGACGACGACGACGGAGGAGGGAGGACAGCGACGACGACGACGACGACGCCTGTCGAGCGCGCGCGCACGCTTTTGTTGAAAATCCGTATTGCGAAACCTTGTGTTTCTGTAGGTTTTTTGGACACACGATTTTGAAGTCCTTCCGAAACCGATGGGTTTTGAAGGATTTCGGCATACGCTCGCGACGACGCGCGCGTCTGCACTTCGTCCCATTTTTTGCAAGAAGGATTCTCACGACGGCACGCGCGCAAGGGCGTTCGACCGATTTCGACATGCGCGCGCGAAGCCCGTTTGGTAGCATGTTGTGCAAATCTTGACAACCTATGGTTTTCTTAAGATTTCGCAAGAGCTCGCGCGTAAGCTTTATTTTCCAATTCAGTGTTGCGAAACCCTATGTTTTCGTATGTTTTTTGGAAACTCGATTGCGAAATCCTTCCGACACCGAAGGTTATTGGAGGATTTCGGCATGCGCGCGCGACGGCGCGCGCGTGTGCACTTCGTCACATGTTGTGCAAGGGATTCGTGACCACATGTTGTTAGAACAAAAAATGTCACCGCATAATGTTCTGTTACAAGGGAACCTCAGGGGGGGATACCGGTTGGCCTGGGACATTCTGATTTCAGATTTAGAATGGACATGTGGTCAGAATCATATGTGATTTACATACCCGAAAGGGGTAGGGATAACTCCGGGGGGGTCGAGTCTATTCTCTTTTTAGAAAGGAGAACCTACGTGGCGCAGTCAACCTTAAAACATACATGTGGACATACGATGTGGTGCAAGTTGTGCGGTACAACGTGTGGTGCTGTATATATATATATATATATATGTATGTGTCATGTTGTGCAATCGATAGTGTGTCCTATGCGATGCAGCGCAATTGGTGTAAGCTAGGTGGTGATGTTGATGTGGTGCGACATATGTGGTGCCAACTATGCGGTGCAATCTATATGGCGAAATTCACTTTGCCCGTCTTGAAGTTGTCCTCTCCACTGCTCGTGCAAACATCCCACCCTCCCACCCGCAACTTGGTCGCAAAACCTCTTAAGACAAGACCGTGACGGTAGGTACCACATGGCACTTGGCCACGACACCGACGCCGACGACAATAGCGACAAGGACGACGACGGCGCCGCCGACACCGACTACGACGACACCGACGACGTCTCCAACGACTTCGACGACAACAACGACGACGACGACGATAGTGACAACGACGACGACCGCCGACACCGACGACGACGATGACAACGCCGACGACGACGCTGACGACGACGCCGACACCGACGACGACGAAACCAACGACGACGACGACAACGACGCCGCCAACGAAGACGACGACGACGAGGGAGGAGGAAGGGCGACAACGACGGCAACGACGCCAACGACGAGGGAGGAGGGAGGACGGCGACGACGCGAACGACGAAGAAGGAGGAAGGACGGCGACGCCGACGACGACAACGACGAGGGAGGAGGGAAGACGATGACGACGACAACGACGACGACGACAACGGCGACGAAATAGGAGGGACGACGAGGAGACGCCGACATCGGACGACGACGACGACGAGGGAGGAGGAGGAGGAAAGACGACCACGGCGACAACGACGACGGAAACGACCACGACGCCAAAGAGGACGACGACGACAAACACGAGGAAAGACAGAGGACGACGTAGGCGACGACGACGACGACGCGGGAGGAGGGAGGACGGCGACGACGACGTTGACGCAAGAGCGCGCGCACGCTTTTGTTGAAAATCAGTGTAAAAACAACCGTGTCTTTTTGGACACACGATGTTGAAATCCTTCCGAAGCCGATGGGTTTTGAAGGATTTCGGCATACGCTCGCGACGACGCGCGCGTCTGCACTTCGTCCCATTTTTGCGGGGGATTCTTGCGACGGCACACGCGCAAGGGCGTTCGACCGATTTCGACATGCGCGCGCGAAGCCCGTTTGGTAGCATTTTGTGCAAATCTTGAAAACCTATGGTCTTCTTAAGATTTCGCAAGAGCTCGCGCGTAAGCTTTTTTACCAATTCAGTGTTGCAAAACCATGTGTTTTTGTATATGTTTTGGAGGCTCGATTGCGAAATCCTTCCGACACCGAAGGATTTTGAAGGATTTCGACATGCGCGCGCGACGACGCGCGCGTGCGCACTTCGTCCCATTTTTTCCCAAGGGATTCGCGAAAAAGTGCTATGTTAAAACAAAAGATGTCCCCGCGTATCGTTTTTCACAAGGGAACCTCCGGGGGGGCGATACCGGCCCCCCGGGGATAGTGAAAATTCATACTTACGATGGACATGTGGTCAGAATCATAAAAGACTTACATACCCAAACGGGGAACGGATAACGCCGAGGGGGATAGAGTCTATTTATAGAAAGGAGAATTCACTTGCCGAACTTGAAGTTGTCAACTCCACTGCTCGCGCAATCATCCCGCCCACCCATTCGCAACTTGGTTTGCAAAACCCATGCAGGAGCGATTGCGATGAGTGCTGGGTGTTGGTTGGTGCATCTCTGCGGCCGGGCTAGCCCGCGCATGCTCGCGCACGCAGCGGCCAGCAAATTTGGCGCGACCGACGCGGCCAGCCGGCCCCCCCTAAAGGGTGAAAGCAGACTCTGGAACCCAAGGTCATGGCCACTCTGAAGGATAAGGTCAGCGAAAAACGCGGACAAGGCAAGCTCGACTTTACATCTACCTTGTGAGGAGGATGAGCAGGAACAGGACAAGGAAAATAAGAGGAGAGAGGGAGAAGGAGCGACAGCGAAAAGTAAACAGGCTCAGCTGGGGAAGGACGGGAAAAGGAGTAAGGGGACGAGGGAGCAGGGAAGGAGGGAGGGGGGGGAGCGCCGCGGGGAGTTTGCGCTGGCCACCGGTGAAGATATCCTCTTCGTCCTCGCCCTCGCCCTCGCGATTGTTTCTGCCCTCGCTCCCTGCTCCTCCTCGTTCTTGTCTTCCTCTCTGGGTTCGCATCCTTCTCTCATCAGCTGCCCTCTGCCTCGTGCTCCTCATCTGCTCAAATACACCCCTTCCGTAAAAAATACTTAACCCCATGTCGCAGCACCAAGCGCAAGGGCCGGGCGTTCCGCTTGAAACGTCCTTCCTTCCAGCTAACTATCCAGAAGTTGACTAAACCCTTACAATCATAGTGATGGAGGGTCGGCGGACTTCAAATTCGGTTTTCGCCAAAGGCAGCGCCCACTCGCTTGAAGAGCTTCCAACAGAAAAAGAATGGAGGGCTGGTGGTTTTCACAACGCGGTTCTCGCCTTAGTGCTGCGCGCAGTCGTCTTGAAAGGTTCCCCAATCAATGCTTGCATCTGGTCTGCTCTGGGGAACTGAGTCTGTGAATCGGTCTGGCGGCTATATGGCCGCAGCCGCCCCGTCGTCGCCGCCCATCGTATGGGTTTGTGTGTCGGTCTGGAAGATATGTGGGCGCCGTCGCCGCCTCGACGTCGCCCATCGTCTGGGCCCTCGTGTCGGTTTGGCATTGAGTAACCTATAATTTCCCCTCTAGAGGAAAAGTGGAATACCCCCCCCCATGGAGTTCACGCTCGCTGCGTCCGTACTAACGTATAGAGATTTACGTACGGTCCCGCCCCACCGTCCACATCAAATATGAATTCGTTCCACCAAAGGCAGGCCGGTAGGGACCTGCAAAAACTATGCGCGCGCACTCGCTAATCATAAATCATCCGTTTTTGAGAATTCCTTGCACAACGACGAAGTACACACACGCGCGCGGCAACGCGCGCGCATGCCGAAACCCTTTCAAAGACCATGGGTTCCCTAAGGATTTCAAATTCGAACGCCCCGAACACATACAGAGAACGCATGGCTTCGCAGCAAGAGCTCCAAACCAAAACCTGCGCCCGCGTTCTTGCGAATTTTCCCCAACACAAAAATAAAAACACAACGTTTTCAACGTGTTCACACAAATGTTACCAAACGGGTTTGTCGCTCGAAATCGTTCAAACACCCTGGCGCGCGCGGTGCGGTGAAAAAAACGCTGCAAACAAAAGGGGGCGAACCGCACAGGCGCGCGCCATCGCGCGTGCACGTCGACATGTTTTGGTATACGTATCTGTGTATATATATATATATAGATATAAGGAAAACACGGATGTCGTCAGGATTTCAAGATCAACGGCCCCGAACACAAATATAATCACATGGTTTTGCATGTAGTGTGAATATGCATATGAAGGACGCGCTCGACTGTTGCAAAACAAGATGCATTCGCACCGTTCGAACGCCATTGCGCGCGTGCTGGTGGGGGTGTGCACGATCCGTGTCAAATAATACCATGCCGGCCTCTCTCGCGCGTTTGCCGCGCGAGTGAGGAAATCCCTCCAAATTTTGCATCCCCGACGCGAAGACGCCGTCATCGTCGTCGGCGTGATCTGCATCGGCGCCGTCAATGACCGTGCCGTCGTCGTTGTAGCCATCGTCGCCAGCGTCGCTACCATCAGCATAGTATCTACCGCCGCCGACGTTGCTGCGATACCGCGCCTGCCCAAGCCGCCGACTCGCACTGGAGTGCCCGTTAGGAAACGCCCAATGGTTAGCGCCACCGCGGCCGCGTCGGTCGCGCCAAACTAGAGATGCACCAGCAAACACGAAGCACCCATCGTAATCGCCGCAGCATGGGTCTTGAAAGCCAACTTGACAGTTCACTGCGAACAGATTCATTGCACCACAAAGTTGCACCACATAGATTGGCTCACGTAAGTGCGTGAACATGGACAACGCCACGCATAGTGGATCACACAAACTGCGCGAAATAGACCGCACAACAAATACTGCTCAACCCAGATTGCACAGCATAGAGTGCACCTCGTACACTGCGCTGGACGTATCGCTTCACATTGTTTGCGCACCACAGGAGTGTACCTCATGGATTGCGCCACATAGGGTGCACAACACGGAGCGCACAACATCGGCAACGCAAAACATATCCCGCAACCTGTTTTGCAACACGTCGGCGGCACACAACATATTTCCCAACATAGATTGCAGAACACGCGTTGCACCATTCATTGCATTGAACTAGCTCCATGGGCCTATATGGTACCACTGAGATTACACCGCATTGGTTGCACATCGCTGAATCCGCAAACCAGAATGCAAACCATGGATTACCCAACAGGGATAGCACGACATAGGGTGCACTACCGATACTGCGCCCGATAATACTCCACACACATTGCGCAACATATCTGGATCCACACAGGTTGCACAACCTTTGCTCTCCTTTCAAAAAAATGGTTCTACCACCCTCCCGCCCCTCAGAATTCAAGGTCCCCTTTTTTCGTATTGCAATTTCCATGCGATTCTGCCCCGACGTCCATCCTAAATATGAACTTACACCATCCCAGGGGGGCCAGCATCGCCCCCCCCCCCCCCCCCCCCGCCATCCTCTGCAGCAAAATATGCGCGCACCCGCTTACAACAAGACAGCATCCAAGAATACCTTGCGAGAAATTAGACGAAGTGCACACGCGCGCGTTGTCGCGCGCGCATGCCGGACTCATGCAAAAACCCTTGGTTCCGAAGGATGTCAAAATGGAGTGTCCAAAAAATATATAGAAAACTATGGTTTCGCAACGCGGATTTTCAACAAAAAACGTGCGCGCTTTTACGCGTCCTGAGGCAAACCATCGTTATTTCAACATGTTCATAACATGCTACCAAACAGGCTTCGCGCGCGCATGCTGAAATCGTTCGAAAGCCTATGCGCGCGTGCCGTCGCGAGAATCCCTTGCAAAAAAAAAAAAAAAAAAAAACAGAACGTGCACACGCGCGCGCGTCGTCGCGCGCATGCCGACATCCTTCAAAAACGTCTGGTTTCGGATAGTATTCAAAATCGGCTGTTCAAAAATCATATGACAGCACATGATTTCGCACCGCAGGTTGTCAAACAAAACGCGCGCGCTTTTGCGAATTCTGAGGATAACCGTCGGTGTTTCAAAAGTTTCATAACATGCTACCAAACGGGCTTCGCGCGCGCATGTCGAAATCGTTCGGACGCCCTTGCGCGCGTGCTGGGGTGGCACGATCCGTGTCACATAACACCATGCGAGCCACTCTCGCGCGTCTGCCGCGCGCGTATTTCGAATTCTATCCAAAACCTCCATCACCGACGCGATGGCGCCTCGTCGTCGCCGTCGTCGTCCTCTTTGGCGTCGTGGTTGTTTCCGTCGTCGTTGTCGCCGTGGTCGTCCTTCCTCCTCCCTCGTCGTCGTCATCGTCCGTCGTCGGCGTCTCGTCGCCGTCGCCCCTCCTATTTCGTCGCCGTCGTCGTCGTAATCCCGTAGTCGGCATGTCCCCCTACAGGGGCCCCCCGAGATAATACATCGAAACCACTGTTTCGGAGGTCTCGGGGCTGAGTCTCCGAGGTGACTTTTCAAGAGGTGGTTGAACCACTCTCAAAGTTGACTTTGCAAGTGGTGTTGGCGACGCTCGTGATTTTGAGCTGACTTTTAAATCGATGTCCCATGCGCTATAACGGTCATGGCGTTTTGTATCGTAGAGCTATCCCACTGGCTAGTTAACCGCATATCAGTATGCAACGCACCCTAGTATACAATACGCGTGCCCATTACTTTTGATGTACTTTCCCACTCTACTCTCATGTCGTACTCTTACACGATTCCCGATTTGAACCCGTATCTTCTACTCTTACGCTGCCCTTCTAGTGGCATACGCTGTTGTTAAGGTCGAATAGGTTACTTCCGTGGCGATGGCCCTTGCTCCTACTCTACTCCGACCTTCTAGATTCCTAAGTACCCTAACTTGGGCTCCAAGTTGGAACCCTGAGGACGGGCCCAAAGACATCCCAACGGAGGCCCCTTGCGGGGCAGGGGCCCCAAGCACGGGGGCCCAGGGGGCCAACGGGTGGCCCCGAGCGAGGTCCAAGGGGGGCGCAACGCAGGAAAGGAAAATAGCCCGAGCTCCAGGATGGAGGAACGCGAAGCGTTCGATACATGTATGTGAGCAGTTGTGATGCTGTGTGTTGTATGATGACAGGACGAAGGGTGGGGCGACAAAGATAAGGACGGCGAGTTCTTGACCCGCCAAGGCGTGGTCAACGCCGCGCCGCGGACGGCCGTCGGCCTAGAGCGAGGCGGAAACGTTCCGCCGTTCAACGCGGAGAGCGGGCATGAAGCCCCGCCCTCACACGATGCGGAAAGGGCCCCCTGCCCCCCGCGCTGCAGCGGGGGCGTCGGGCCACGGCGCGCTCGAGGAGAGGAGGTTGTTGTTGCTGCTGCTGCTGATGCTCTTGGTCTTGCAACTGGCGGCGCTGTCATTGCGGTATTTGCTTGCATGCCTGAAGGGGTTTGGGAGGCCCCGCGAGGCGCAGCCGCGACCTACTATTGCCCCGCCTTCGCCTTCTTGATCCGCTCGCGAATGATCGGGTGGGCGAGCGAGTCTTTCGGTTTGAGGCGGTCCAGTTTCGTAGACTGCACGGCGGTGGCCTGGGCAGCTTTGGTCTTCGTCGAGGAGGCCGCCGCGGCGTGGATGATGAGTGCTTCGCACTCTGTCGCGGTGGCCCTCCAGCCCAAACTCGCGGGTCTTGTTGACCAGCTCCTGGTTCACGTCGCCTTTGAACAATGTCACCGTGTCCACGCGCCGTTTCGTAGCCTGCGCTATGGGGCTCAAGAGGGAAAGAACGAGGCCCACCCCCTTACCACCCCCGACTGCTCTCCTCCCCTACCCCCCGCCATCCTGCCCTCATCTCCCAGCGTCACCATTCCGACCCGAGTCCGCCCTCCCCGACCTCCACCACCTCCTCCCGCCGCCCGCCTCCTGCTCCAACCCGTCCACCTCCTACCACCGAGCTGCGTGTTAAAGTATGTATTGGTGGAGGGCCCCGTCGAGCTCAACCTTGAGATCCTTGTCCTTCTTGGCCTGGAACGTCGCCAGGGGGTTCGCCTGCGCGAGCTCGTCCATCGTCGTGGCGTTGTCGTAGAGGTGCTCCGACCAGTGTTTGCCGTCCAGCAGGCCACCAGCCACCTTCTCTAAGTCGGCCTGCTTCGCGCGGAGGCCCGAGTCCTCGATCTTGTTGGCGGCAAATGTGACGGCGTCGGCGAGATTCTCCGAGTAGCTGAGGCGGTCCTTGCGGTACTTGGCGAAGCGCTCTGCGACGCCCTGGAAGTTGGAGGCCTTGGACAGAGTCTCGACAGTTTTAACAGCGCCCTGCACCAACGCATTGTACTTCGCGATGTTGTGGCGCCCGCAGTTATGTTCCTCCTTCGCCAGGTCGCGCTCGGAGCCCCTCCCCTGCATGGGGCCTCTCTTCACAAGGTCGGCCTGGAGATCCGCGACAGCCTGCATGTCCTGCAGGAGAAGGCCCAACAGGCGGATCTCGTTCGGCGGTTTCTGGACGTTCGGAGTCCCCATATGCAGTAACTCAGCAGCCTTCAGGGTGGCATATGCAAGCGGAGAGAGGCTGGCATCCTCCTTCTCACCGTTGAAGTGCTCCACCATCCAGCCCGAGGCACCGACGATAGTGTTGAGCAACATCGACTTGGCCCCAGTCGTGACCTTGACCCCCTGCAGGTCAGTGGCAGTGACCTTCAACGCGTCGATCAGCCCAAGGTTGAGCGCCCCCTACTATCTGGAGCCGTCGCGGCCTGCAACGCCGCGCAGCCTGCCTCGATTCGCGTGCTGTGGTGGGCGGTGTTCTTCTCCATCTTGAGCTGCTTCGTGCTCCCGAGGGCCGTCTGCAACAGCGGCTGCTCTGGGAACTGCTTGGTGGCCGTCTCAAGGGAAGTGACGAACGGATCGAGCGGCTTGGTGTATTTCTTCTCGCCCATGAGCGCATGGGCGCCCGGCTTCAGGTGGCTTGCGGCCCGTGCGAAGGCCAGGGGAGTTTGGAAAGCGTTGCCCGTAGTTTTGTTCGATGTAGACTTCCAGACGCGGTAGTTCTCAACGAAAGCCACCATCTGCTCCCACGGGCGCTTCTTGAAAACGGTGTCGATGGGTTTCAGATTGTTGAAGATCTTCAGAGTGGCCTCGTGCGTCCCCGTCGCGTATATCATCTGCTGAGACCGCCGCTCAGCAGTGCCAAGGGAGGCGGGCGCAGACTTCTGGATACCGTGGTCGGACCCCCCCTTCGCTGTGGTGCAGAACTGGTCGAACTTCGCGTGCCGATCTGCGTAGTCCTCCTGGGCATTGCCACTGCCGACATCGATCAGGAAGGCAGCCTGCCTGAGAGACGTGAGCAAGTCGAATGGACACCCTGCGTAAAACACAGGTACCACGCCCATGGCGAGGTCCTGCTTCAGGAGACTCGCGAAGGCATTGGCGAATGCGCACGTGGACTTCCTGTGGGCCTCGTCCCTCGAGATCGCGCTGCACAACAAGTTGTCGACCACCAGCGACGCGAAAAACTTGGAGCGTTCCGCGACCGCCTTGACGGGGATGGCCGATGCCATCGGGCGCAGCGGGTCGAAGGGCTCGCGTGGCTGCGCGTCCGCACACAACGATTGCTCGGATATGCCCATCGAATCAGGAGGTTGGGAGTCCTCTGCCTGGGTCTGGGAGCTCAGGGCTGCCTCCAACTCCGCGAACGAATCCTGCGCGTCAACTGTAGCCCCCCCATGGCCTCATCGCGGCATACGCCGCCTTGACGGAAGAAGCGGCTTCGTCGTCCACATGGCCGCCTGGCGGAAGGAGCTGATGTACCTTGCGGGTTACGAGCGCGAACATGTAGCTCGAGTCCATCAGCTGGTATCCTCCACCAGGTACGTCAGCAATTGGTTTGCGGCCTACCTTGATCTCGTGAGCTGCCCTGTTGCAAGCGCCTCCTTTCTGACTTTCTGGACTGTCGCCGCGTGCGACATGTGCTTGTAGAGAGTGCTGTAGCTGCCTGCGAACTCTGGCTTGCCCTTGATCTTCTCCAGAAGGGCCTTCGCCTCCTTGATGGCGTTATTGAGCTTGCCGTTGTTGAGGTGGTGGTGCAAGTTATTTTTCTGGATCCAGTACTCGGCCTTGCCTGGTATGTCCCTCGGGCGCTCCGCGAGGAGCTCCTGCCCACCACCCTCGCTCTCGGCACGCTGGCCCATGCCATCAAAGGTGGGCGTCGGAGGCGGTGGCCCCGTCGATGACGCGCAACTTCCGCCTGCGTCGTGCGCGGCGAGTGCCTCTGCTGTCAGCCCGGGCGCGCAGGGCGGCGAGCAGAACAGAGGCACTGGCGGGGGGGTCTTTTCCACGGCTGGGCATAGCAGGAACTACTGCGACGGGAGCGCGTCTGGTGTGGGATACAAGTTGAAGCGGCCACGATTATGCTGCGGCTGCCAGGCAGCGTGCTCGGAGTCGTCGGGGACGGACCGTTTCTGCGCGATGGGCGGCGCCGCTGGCAGACCCAGCACCCGATCCCTCACCCTCAGGGCCGCTTTTTTCCAGAGACGTTCTTCCTCGGGGCTTGAAGCTACATCGCCGCGCTCAAGAGAGGCACGTCGAACGCGCTGGGCGCGTTCGTCGGCTGAGCGTCACCCTGAGCACTCCATTTGAATACCTCGCTGCCTTGGCCTTCGAGCATGACGTGATTCATGGCCACGAGCTGGCGATGCTGCTGCGTGCTGAACGTCCAGGAAACCTTCTCCCTTCGGAAACCCCTGAAGCGGGCGTCGTCCACGTCGTCGATTATCGCTCAGTGCTGCCTGTACTTGCCATGCTCGTCGACGCCCCACTTCTTAAAGGGCTCCAGTTTGCGGGCCGTGTTTGGTGTGAGCTGCTGGGCACCGATGAGAAGGCGCACCTGGTCCTCTGTGACCAGCGCGCGTTCGAAGTAGTACTCAGTGGTGCTCGAAAGCACTGATGCGACCTCCTCTGGGTCCACTCGCGGGGTTGATGGCAGCGCCACGCTCGCGTCCAATGTGTTGTTAGTCAACCTGTTCTTCAAGACCGCGGAGCCGTTCATCATTGTAACGAAGGCCGTCTCACCACCAATGAACCAGAACAGGGACTTGTGGACTCCGTGGCACCGTTCGCAGGTCAATAACTTGTCCTGCCCCAGAGCAGGTAGGGGGAGGAGACGTATCTGCGGGAAAAGGATGAGAGAGGGATAACAGAGAAAGGAATACGTTGAGTCTGGCATCCTTGCAGGGAAGAGCGCAAACACCGCAACCCGAGGCAGCTGGCGCGGATGCCATCGGCACAAAATTGTTATGGAAGGCGTGCACCAAATTGACAATATGGAGGAGATCCGAAAACGGTGATCGCATTAGGCTTTGCCGTGCGTCGTGAGCGATCTTCAGCGCAAATGGCGCTGCGAGAAGCACGGTGACGAGGCAGTGGCGAGGTGGAAGAGTTCCATTGTAGAAGATGTGGGCCGTCTTGTGAGCTTCTGAAGCCGTCTCGGAAACGGCGGGGGAGGGAGGGGGGGCATCTCGGGCAATCGGAGGGAGGGGGCACCCCGAGTCTACAAGACGGCCCCGAGGGAGACGTAAAGGACCACCCCCTCGCTTGAGGCTCCCTTGGGGCCCTCTTCGGGCCCGCTTGGAGCCTCGAAGCTGGGCCCCACGCTGGAACCCGAAGGAGGGGCCCAAAGAGATCCCAACGGAGGCACCTTGCGGGGCAGGGGCCCAAGCACGGGGATCCAGGGGGCCAACGGGGAGCCCCAAGCGAGATCCAAGGGGGGCGCAACGAAGGCAAAAGAGCGGATCGGCCTTCCAGGAAATATAACGGAAAGTGTTGATGTCTTGGTGTGTGTGTGTATATATATATATATATATATATATATGCACGATCAGCCTCTACTCTTACGTTGCCCGACTACTCTACTCTGATATTCTACTCGTGCTAGGCCTGCCTCCCCTGCTCTGTTCGTTCACCTTGCTCTTAGAGCGCTCGCCCACTCTGCTCTACTCGGGTTCTCTGTTACCGTACTCCCGTGGCGACGGATTGAGGCGCGCTCGACTCCGATATTCTACTCTCCTACTTACCCTAACTCGAGCTCCAAGCTGGAACCCTAAGGAGGGGCCCCAAGAGATCCCAACGGAGGCGCCTTGCGGGGCAGGGGTCCCAAGCACGGGGGTCCAGGGGGCCAACGGGGAGCCCCAAGCGAGTCCCAACGGTGGGCGCAAGGATGGCAACGTAGCGGATCAACCGTCTAGTAAAGAAACAGGGCGTGTGACCATGTACGTGTACATACCGTGTAGCATTACTGACATATGTTCTCCAACTGTACTCGCTTCTTCCAGCCATGCTAGACTCTACTCGCATAGTGTACGTGGACACCCGACTCAGACTCTACTATCCTAACTCCGTCTGGTTGGGCATGATTGCAGATGATGTTGTTCTGTGCGTCCTGAGTATGCGTGATGTGTGTGTGTGTATTTGCGTATGCTCCTAAGGTGAACGTGATATGTGTATGCACTCTGCATGTCATGTACGTGGGGATATGAAGATGCATGCATATGCGTGGGTGCCCATTATGTATCCACTATGACAGCTATCATTCACCACTATTGCACGAGCCCGGCCCATCCTTGAAACTGCTACTACTTTCCTACACGTGTGTGCGACGCGTGGAGGCAAACACTAACATTATGAGAGCGTCCCGCCTTGCATCCGCTAAACAGCTGCCAAGGACGAAGCGCCACGCTTACGCGAGAGCCACATGTTGAACACGGGCCACCCTGCACCAGTGAAACTGCTACGTCATGTTCTGTACACGGCGTTGAAGCGAGACACGCATGTTGACAGCGAACCACGCTCCATCTGTGAAGCTGTTGCATAATTTCTGAACGAACGTGCGCGGCGCGGGGCGACAACCACATTTCGAAAGCGACCCGCCGCCCATCCGCGAACCAGTTGCAGACTTTGAAGATGAACGTGCGCGGCGCCTAGGGCGAGAGCCACATGATGCAGACGGCCCGCCCCCCATCCGATAAACACCTGCGAACTTTGATGACTCATTTTGATGCGCGCGGCTCTCAAGCGAAAACCACGTTTTGAAAACGACCCGCCGTCCATCTGTGAGATTTTCTTCGGGGGGGAGGGAGAAGATGCGAACGGAAACCACACAATCCGGTGCCCCTGCCGGGAGCTATCCCAGTATCCAGCGACGAACCATTGCAGAACCCACGCAGCGGCATTCCTGTAGGTTTGCCGGAGGGATATGTAGATGGAACCACATCCTCGGGGGAGGAAGAAGGGGGGGAGAAGGGACAAAGAAGAGGACACATAATCCATCCAAAAGCCAGGAGCGGCGCTCAAGACGACCTGCCATAGACGAGCCGTCGCGCGCAACCACGGATTGGGAGAGCGGGCGAAAGTAATTAGATTATTGGGTCTCGGAGGTCATCGCCCGACTGCCTGTCAGTCTGAGCGCCCACACGGCCAATGCAGTGCAAGCGCAAAGAATAGGCTACACAGTCTCGACTCCGAGGAGGCGGAGGGAGGAAAGAGCAGGAGAGGCAGAGGAGGGAGACCACGGATGACCACAAACGGTCGGCACAACTCCGCAGTGGTGGCGGGAAGGCGCGAAGCCATATCAGAACTGTATCTTGCGGTTGTCGGCGCGCGGCCTCGGCAACGCGCAGGGCCCCTGTTCGGACCGCGGCTTGCACGTGATATGCAGCATACGCAGTGCGAGCTCGCAACAGCTTGGCCCGCTCAGATGAACCGGCGCCGCCGCGCCTGCTCAAGGTCGAGTGTCCGAAATTCAAGAAGCGCGCCAGTTCGTCCTCGGCTGCTGGGGCGGCCAGCCCAACATAGTGAGTGCAGAAGACGCGATACGTCGCCCAGGGACAATAAAGTGCTCGATGCTGTCCTCGCCACGCTGGCAACCAAGCAGACATACAGCGCGCTGCTGGAAGCGCCATGCCGTGCACCAGCCGTTGGAGGCCGTCCTGATGAAGGCTGCAGCGGCCCGCGGCGTGCTTCTAGCGTTAGGTCGGGCATGTCCCCCTACAGGCGAATTTTGAGCAAAAGTTGAAAAATACCCCAAACATGCTCTAAACATGCTCAAACATAGTCAGACTATTTTGTGACTATCTTTGAATATTCCTCCTGTAAAGGGACAAGCCCGACATAATTCTAGCGGCGAACGCCTGGCCGACGGCGACGAACCTTGCAGGCAGGGCCGCCGTCGAGGAGGAAGAGCCAAGGGGCAAGCGATCAAAGCGTTCGCGGGCGTGTGATCGTGCGGCGGATGTGCGAGGGCGAAGAATCGCCACGGCCCGTCGCTGTCAGGTCCGCTTCGCATCCTCATCCAACGGGTCGTCAACCAGCAAAGCGATCGCGGAACTCTTCGAACTGTTGCAAACTTTGAAGTCGCCTGCGCGCGGTGCGCAAGCGAGAGCCGCATCTTGAAACGGCCCGCCCTCCATCCGTGAAACTGTTGCAAATTTCAAGCTTCCAGGTAAATTACGGCGAAGAGTACTCCAGCGAAACGTCCGGCCCACCCACCGACACGTCGAAGGGTGGGACAGAGAGAAGTTATTCATACGCAGGAGGAGGAGAAGCAGGGAGGGGGGAAGAGGAGGCAACAGGATAGAGGAGGAGAGAAGGGAGCGGAAGGGGGAACAGAGGGGCGGGGTGGACAACAAACGATCCCTAAAGACCCCCTGACACTGCGTCGAGAGATCCTTCTCCAGCCGCCGCCGCCGGAGCCGCCTGCAATTCTTCACCAGGTCCTCCGCGTGCGAGAACGGGATGATCTCGTCCTGCGGCGCGCCGCGCGTGGTGACCGCACCGTACGAGGAGTCCGTGGTGATCCGGGGTCACCGCACAGTGTTCGGACTCGAGTCATCCTCCGAAGATGTCTCGGGCGACTGCAGCCTCTGGGGGCCCGAAACGGTGCGGCGACGGACCGCGCGGTGTGGTCGCCGGGGATTCCAAGGTCACCACGCGGGCCGTCACCACACGGTTTTGAAGGTCCCGAGGGGAAGGCGACCTCCAATCCGCCCGTGAGCGCGGCCGTGGGCGGGGCTGGGAGTGGGCGTCGGGGCGCCGCTCGTCCAGTCGGGAGAGAACATGTCCTGCTCGTACTACGGTGCGCGTGGCCATCCTCCAACAGAAGTCGGGAAGGGGGGGGGAGGGCTGCCTGGTAGGGCCAGAGCAGAGGAGGTGCACTGCTGGTACGATGACGATGACGACGGTAGCCTGGGATGACCACGGTGAGGATAATGATGGGGAGAGTCAGGGAGAGAGTGAGGGGACCAAGCGGTCCTGCGGTGCGTTGGCTGCAGTGCGGTTCTGCGGTGCGGGTTGCTGTTTAAGCTTCACTGCTGAAAAACAATCCGCCACCATGCCCTTGAGGCACGAGTTGGAATGTCCTCAGGTCCTTGCTCAATCCCCTGGAGCCTCCCGGACTCGGAATTACCAAATCTGCTGGGGCGTGGCGCGTGCCGTGCCTCTTGGAGCGCGTCGAGCCTCGTCGCGCGACTTCGTCGGACCCAGAAGGGCGCAAGACGGGCCAAGAGGTCGCCAAGAGGCCGCCCAGACAGTCTTGGAGGGCCCCGAATCGCCGCACGATTGGCCCAAGACGCCCAAGATGGCCCCGAGACGGCAGAAGGAGCCTCCAGACGCCCCAAGAAAGCCCCGAGAGCCTTCCCAAGAGGGCCCCACGAGGCAAAAATCATTGATTGTCAAAAGAGGCGTCTTGTTTGTAGGGTTCTCGACTTTTCGTGCTTCCGACGCCCCACGACGGCCCAAGAGGCCCCCAAGAGGAGATGGCCCCATGACGGCCCAGGAGGCGCCCAAGACGGTCCAAGAGCCCCAAGACGCCCCAAGACGGGCCCACGAGGGGGAACGTGAACCGAACCGAGCCTTCCTCCCTAAGAGGCGCCTTGAGCCAGCCGACCCGCATCAAACTGCCTGCGGATCCAGTCGATGCACCCAGCGACTGGCATGCTAAACAGAGATATGTACAATCAGGGAGAACTCAAGTGAATTGCTGGATCGAATCAACTCTCCTCCTCCTCCTTCTCCTCCTCCGCCTCCGCCTCTTCCTCCTCCGCCGCCTCCACCTCCTCCTCCCTTCACCGCCCGCCCCATGTTCCGAGCCTGTGGCAGGGTCATCAACTCGTCGTTGTCGTTGTCGTCGTGGTCGTAAGCGTCGTCATTCTGTGTCGGCGGCGCCAGCCGTAAGGCCGTCGCAAGACGGTTTCGCATGCCGCCCTTCACCCCTCCCGTTCCCCATGGCCCATCCCCCATACGACTCACCCATCTCTGCCCCCTCCCCTGCTCCTGTCCTTTCCCACTGCGCTCACGGCACCAGAGGGGGGTCCTCCTGATCTTGTCCACGTCAGCACGAGCACGGGGGCGGAGGTTCTATTGTTAAGTCGGGCGTGTCCCCCTACCGGGGGATTCTGGACGAAGAATTGAAAATACAAAAAATACCTATACGACCGCCCTGCGGGCGATAAGGAGGTTTCGGGGGAATGAAATCAAATGCCCACCCTGACTGACCTCCAGCCTGTCACCTTGATCTCATCTCTCTCTTTCTCTCTGGATTGGACTAGATGGATTGGATCAAATAAGCTAGGTTGGATAATAAAGCCCGCCGCAGGCGCCGACAAAAATGAATTGATGGATTGGGTTGGGTGGATTTGATTGGATGGGATAAGATGGATTGGATAAGATAATACGGGTTGGATAGGAAGAGATTGAATGGATAAGATAAGATGGATTGGCTTGGTCCGCCGCAGGCGCAGAAACAAATGAATTGATGGATTGGGTTGGGTGGATTGGATTGGGAGGGATACGATAAGATTGAACAAGATGGATTGGATAAGATAAACTGGATTGGATAAGAAAGCCCGCCGCAGGCGCCGAAAACATGAATTATGAAATTAGCGACATGCGTTAGCGCCGGGACGCCCGGGACGACCGGGACACCGCCAAGCCCAACTGGGACACCTCCTGGCCACCGGCGGACGGGAAACGGACTTTCGCTCCTACTGACACCTGGGACACCCGGGACACCGCCCGGCCCAACTAGGAGCCACTGGCGGACGGGCAACGGACTTTCGCTCCTACTTCGGCCTAGCTACAAGAGGATCACGCGCAGCTTCGCCTCGCCCGCACGCACGACACGAACTCGAAACCGAAACCGATTTCCTGGTGGGGGGTCTCCGTTTCACTGCGATCTCAACCCCCAACCTCCGATTCCCAAAGTGTTCAGGAATAGGCAAAATATCGTCCCCAGACTATTTTGTTTTACTATTTGGGAATATTATTCTTCCTGGTCCGAATTATTTCTATTGGGCCATCTCCTTGCCCTCTCCCAACGGCCGTCCCCTTCGGGCGAGGCAGGAAGGACGAGGGAGCGGACGCTTCCTCAACCTCTCGGCAGGACGAGGAAGGAGCAAGGCGGAGGGGCAGGCTGAGGACAAGGTGGTGCGGGGGAGATGGAAGCGGGAGACGAGAGAGAGAGAGAGAGAGAGGAGAGAGAGAGGAGAGAGAGAGAGAGAGAGAGAGAGAACAAAACAATTGAACTTGAGAACCTGAGGAAGGGGGACCGGGAGGAAGGAGGAGGGAGAAAGGGGGAGAGGACGGTGAGAGGGAAGATGGGAAGGGAGAAGGCGGGGAAGAGGGAATGGGACAGCGGAAGAGAATCGGGACCTTTACCGCCCAATGCGACCCTCGAGACCCTCAAAGAGGCTTGCAGGAAACCTCAACAAGACCGCTAGGAGAAATCTCCACGACTGGGACTACCAGCACGAGTGGGCGCAGCTGTACGAGTGGGATGGGCACGTGGGATTTGTGCTGCCTCTCCAAGGGCTTCCCTGGGGGGATACAAGCGAAATGTTCGACGTGGGCGTGACGCCGCGAGGTGGCGGCGGGTGCGCCGTGATTCCCCGTCTCTCAAGTATTCTTCTTCCCCCTCCACCGGTGATGACCATCATAGGCCTTACCAGTTCCGCAGCTCCCATCATCCCATCGTAGAGGCCGCGGGGGCAAATCCCCACGAGCCTGGCACCGCAAGTGCAGCGCCAAGGGTGGCGGCCCATCTTCCTATCCCACCATCATAGGGGCATGCGACATCCCTGACGACAAGACGGGGTGGGCACGAGTGGGCATCGTAGCCGGCTCAAAGCCAAAAGCGGCAGCATGGCCTCATCGCCCACCTTCTCATTGACCTCGCTCCATGCGTAGCATGCTCTCCCCTGAGAGGCCTCTGGTCCACGATCTGGGCCTTGCGGCGGGATGAACCTGGAGGGCAGACAATCCACCCCCACGATAATCACCCCGACAAGCGAAGCCGTTTAGTAAACGTCCCCAAGGAAGGATTCGAACAGGGCAGGGATGTTTGGTAAACGCCCAGGGCCGTCCAGTAAACGCCAATTGTCGGGTTCTGGGTGGTTTTTCCTCCCTTGAGAACCGGAGGCCACCAGCTGCCTCGTATCGCCCACAAGGAGGCATCCATTCGAAGGGGGCTGTGCACTCGAGAGAAAAAGTCTGCGGGGTCGCTGGGCTTGACTCGTCTCCCCCGCTCGTTCCTCGCACGTTCTGCTGGACTCGGCTCGCGCGCAGGCGCTCTGCTCCAAGGGTCGGGGTTTGTCTCGCACTCTCGCCCCCTCACTCTTTCCTTTGCGTGCCTGCTGCAATCCACTTCCCTTTGGAGGGGGTGCGCCTGATCATTGCTCCTGACGACCACCCCATGGGCCGCTGCGGACCTGGTCAGGCCAGCCTGCAGCTTCATGAGGCACCTCACAAGAAGGCATGTGTTGCGGGACGCTGGATATGTCACCCTGCACCTGGACGTAAAACAATTCCCCCTCTCGTTCCGTCTTCTGCCACGGCTCGGCGAGCAAGTCGAGTACGTGCCGTGCCAAACTGGGGGGCAACTTGTTGCCCCCATCTCCCCGAATGAAGTCCTGGCAAACCCTTCGGCCAATGCCGCCGCATGCTCCCTCCGTGGGCTTTCCTGGCGCGGCCCAGGCTGCCTGCAAGACGGCCCCGTGCCATGAACGAAGCACCTTCGGCGGCCACCCCGCACGTTCCGGTACGGCCCCGCGCGCCTCTGCGCGATGGCGGGGAAGGCGGCGGCGGGTCGCCGCGGGCGTATTCGACGAGGGGGGGCCGTCCTTCGTGCCGTGGACGATATACGTCGGGCACTTCACCTCGCCGCCACGGGCACAGGACCGCTTCCCCCAGAGAGGACCCTTTCCCAGGAGACCGCTTCCTCAACGGCCCGCTTCCCTGGAGGCCGGTCTCCTCGAGACCGTCTCCCCGCCACGGACGAAGATCGGCGCATCACACAAACTCTTCGGCCATGGAGGCGCCCGTTCCAGGGCGGCTGGTGAGTTCAGACCCCCACGTGCCGCCATGCGGGTATCAACTTTCCAGCCGTCCTGGGACAGGCGTCCCCAGTGGCGCCCCGACATATACATACATATATATACACACATATATGCACATATATGCATATATGTATACATATATGTATATATATATATATATATATATGGCATACCGCCTTGCGTCCGCTGACCCCCGGATCTGCTCGTGGGGCTGGCAAGGGGATCAAGGAACAGAGGGGTTAGCGCCTCGTGGCACGAGGCCTGTGCGCGGACGAGGGGGGGAGGGCCAGGTAACGCATTGATCGGGGGCGCGCAGACATGGATTAGCGATCCATGGATTTGGCGCGCGGTCGCCAAATCCATGGATCGGGGGAGGTGCCCTCCGTAATGCGGCTGGCGCCGCCTCGCTCGGCGGCAGAACTCCACGATTTCCCATGGCAACGGGGCCCGTCGCTAATCCACGCCCCCTTAATCCATGTTTGCGATCGCCTGAACGAGGAGGGGGCCACGAAATCTGTGATACTTCGTGGCCCTGGTCAGGATATCCGCCCAGTCTTCAGCTTTTTCTTCGTCGCCAGGTGGCCTTCGAGTCACAGATCGGGCCTATGGCGGCCATGAAGGACGACTTGGGCACCCTGGGAAAGCTCTCGATAAGGCGCAGCTGCTTGAGAGCATCCCGTGGACAGAAAATCTCCAAGAACCAGCGGACACTTCCGCCAAGACAGGCCCCGATCTCCCCCTGTGGACGCCCCAGGTCAGTGGAGCTGGTTCTACAAGGCAGCGTTAGGGGGGACCAGCTCAGCGGGGGGAAACATCGAGCGGGAATCGGCGGTACATGCATTGCCAAGCAATCGGCGATAAGCTCCCCTTTGCTAATCCGCACATTCCTGGGCAGGGTGGGCTTTCGGGCCCCTATCGGCGATCAATGAGCGATTGGAGGTCGATGCGTTCCCCCCTGAGCCTAAGTCCTCCAATGTTGCCCCTGAGGAGGTCAGCCGTCGCAGTCCGCCACGCCGCTTTTTGCGGAGCACGCTGGGCAACATGCGTCCAAGCACCCCGCGAGGCCACCAGCACGGGTGGCCGCCCAGGCACTGGGAGGAGCGACGGCCTGAGCGAGCACAGCTTCCTGAGGCAACTCATGGCCCCCCCATGACACATTGTTGGCTATTGCGAATCCACGCTGCATCAACACAAACCGAGGCTAAATCAACGATGTCTCATCGATCACCAGGCACTAGCGCGCTAATGCGCCCTCAAGACGGAGCTACGAAGACACACACAAACCTCCCATGTGTTACCAGACCATTCCCGAAACGCACGGGCGAAATGAAGAGGGGCTGCGCATCGGCCTCGAGCCGTGGCAAGCGCCTCATCAGCACGCGCAGACGCAAAAAGGGAGCTGCGTGCACATGAGGAAGAAGTGGCATATGAGCAGGAGGAGGAGGAGGAGGAGGAGGAGGAGGAAAGGGAGTGGAGTGGAGCGGCCCCCGTCGCGATGCGAGTACTATGATCACCTTTACAACTACATGCGCCTTATGCCCCCCCAGCCTGCCACGAATAATTGGAAACCTCCCAAACGAAACACAACTTACAGGCCCGTCGGCACACCATGGAACTCCTCTGAGACAGAAGACAAGCACGCGGGGCGTTCAACGTTATTTCAGGTCCCTCGGCACACCACGGACAATGGAATGGTAAAACGCAACATGCACTTATAGAGCACACTCCCGCCACGCACCAAGAGCTCTACTGCAGTGACTGCTGGCCGACCCGAATATACGAGTAATATCTCCTGACGCCGCTGAAACCAGCGGCTGGGCGAACGCACAAACCTGACTTCCGCCGAGTCACAATCCACTCACCACAAGCATTAAGTAGCTTCACATCAGCCTCCCGCGCCAGGCCACGCAGGCAATTGAATCCGATTACACACAATGACAATGACCGGTGTACGGGGTGCGCCACCACAGCGACCGCCCCCAGGACAACGATACGAACCAAACAATGAGACCATCTACATTGCGATACAAAGCTGCGAAAGAGCAAATTGGTGACACAAGTACAACTGTGAAAACAACTCCAATCCCAATAAACCCAGAAAAGAAACCTTGCGTTGGCAAGGCTCAGGCAATACACGAAAGTGTTGCCTTGCGCTGGCCAGGCTCAGCCAATAATCAGGTACTTGTAGCTGGAGCGCTCGACCAAAAAAACGTGATTAGCACGTGCGTGACAAGGCACAACGGTTTTCTGCAACCAACCGAAGATAGGTGACCCAACTCAAGACGGACACGACCCGACCTGTCACCCTCAAGTGGGCCACGATCATGACTTCCCCCGGTCTTAGCCAACCTGGCGAATACAGCAAACCAGCGAGAACGATGGACGTTGCGCACATTCCCATGGGTGCCACATGCACGTCACGGTGAGACGCCGAAGGCAGCTACATGAGCCAACAGAGCTGGCAATACCCCGCCCAGCGTTGCTTGTGACTGAGGAGGAGGAGAAGGAGGAGGAGGAGGAGGACAAGGAAGGAGGATGGGGACGAATAGCAGCAGGAGCTGGAGCTGGGGCGGGAGGAGCTCAGGAAGCAGGAAGACCAGGGAGGAACGGAGGAAGGAAAAGGAGCGGGCCGACAAAGGTGAGGAAGCACTCGGACCTAGAAAACTGAAACGCGCCCGCCAGTCTGAACGACGAGAGCGAAGCGCCGATACTAGAATGAGGCCAGCGCTACAGCGGGAGCGCCACTGGAAGGACTGAGAACGCTCGGTTCTCGAACAACACATGAAACCTATAACTACGCTCGTCACTCTCATGCGCGCCGCGCGCATTGCAATCTCAGCGCCCAGGTTGCCCAAGAACTGGCGCACGACGACCACCCGAGGCGCGTGGCCGCGTCGCCTGGCGACCCGCCTCGCGAAGGCGCGGACCGCGGTGAGCGCGGAGCGCCGCCCGGCTGCGGGCGCCCCAAGTTCGCCCACGCCACCAGCATGTCGACGACGTTATGAGGGTTCGGGTTCTCCACGCCTCCGCCGCCCGCGACCTCCACGGAGGCGGTCCCTACGTCCCAGAGCCGCCGCGCGGCCCGACGGGACCGCGGGGGACGGCAGATCGGCGGAGCGAAGCGCTGGACGGGAAGGGATCGATCACTGAGGCTCCTTCTCACTGGCATCGTGTGCAGCCAGATTGAAATCGTAGAGCAAGTCGCGCACGGCGTTGCGACTCGCCTGGCAGCGGCTGCCTTTTCGCATACCTTCTGGACGCTGCTCCGGATCTCGTCGTCGGTGCCGAGGGTGGCACCCAGCGTGACTGTGGCGCTGTTCGGCCCAGCCACGCGGCACGTCCTGACGTAGTCAGTCGCCCAGCCCTGCGTCGCCCCTTCCTCGCCGGGGCGGCGAATGAGACGCACGACGCTTTCCGCATTCTCCCCGCACCCACGCGACGCCCCGAGGCGTGCGATCTTCTCGCCGAAGAGGGGCGGAGCCGCGTGTCGAGCAGGGGCGAGCTGCAGATCAGCTGGCCGTTGCCCACGAAACACCCGTAACATACTCCGCGGCCGTGGGACGCCGTGAACTCCGCGGCCACGCGGCACCTGGCGTCGCCCATGTCGGAGCCCACCAAAGGGGGGAGGACACTGAGGGGGGGGTGAATTCGATCCGCTTGTGCATCGAATTTCTGACAAACGATGCCCCCCGCGCGCCCCGATTGTCGACGCCTCTCGGGTTCTGGCGGCGGCCGGAGATTTCGTTTTGCACCGTTGTTCTGCGGTTCGATGGCCAGCGGACCGAACTCATCCCCCCCCCTGTGGCCCCCCCCCTGCGAGGTCCCGACTATGGGGGGAATGGCCTTGATTAAAGGCGCCCTGGGACACACAAATAAATACACACAAGTAAGAGGATTCCCAATATTTTCCTATATTTTCTGGGTTTCTGTCTGCCCCTCCACTTCCCATGTTTTCGCACATGTTCCTAAGGATCGACGATTAATTGTGTCTATGTGGTTTTCCCCTCCTGATTGATGGGCGCGAGGGGCTCGCCCGGCTCTGCGCCATGGGCGAGCGCCGCGGCGTCTGGCAAAGCAGGGGGTGCGCCGACCCGCTGCTGCTCCCAGTTGACCGTCGCCCCCGCCTCCTGTAAGTGCAGGGCGAGTCGATTCCCAGATCGCCAGCCACCCAGCACTGCTGAAGAAGCTTGCCACGTCGAGGTCCGCAGCAACAGTGGGCGCGATGACGCCCGCCCGGGTGGCCTTCTCCACCGTGGAGCGCCAGTGGCGTAGCGCCTCAGCCAGGGAGGGGGAGGGAGGAGAGACACGTTGACGAACAGCAGGACGTATTAAAACGATAGTGATGTGATGATGCGATTGGCTCAGGATCTGTTCCAGGAGTTTCGGAGCATCTAGCGGGCTTCGTTTCTGCAACCCGTGCGGGACACCTGGAGATCCGGGAGATGCCTGAACCTCTCATTACCAGGACCTGCAGCTCCTCTCACTGGTGCAGGAGAGCGGCACGAGAAAGCGAAGCCCTCTGCTGGGACCCTGGGCCTCTCCCGAGGTCCAAGCGCACAAGTTTTCCGAGCTGCGCCCCACCGTGGCCACGAGGGGCCACCCCGAGGGCCAATCTCCGTGGCTGCATGGAAGAGACCGGCGCGCGGAGGGCGCGGACGAGGGCGGCGGAGACACGAGAGGCCTGGGGAACGGGACGCGCATAGCGTGTCGCGCAGGGACGCGACGGGCCAGAACCGGCGGAGCGCCACGCTATCCAGCAGTCCCTTTGGACGCCCGAAATGGGTACGGGAAACAATGGGTACAATACCCAACAACAAATGTTGTCCCAAACCAACAGCGGCCGCTGTGGGGCAGCCGGCCTTCTGTCTCCAATGTGCGCAGGCCGCGGCGACACCGACAGCGAGCCCTGCTCAAAACGAGCACGAACTGCTGTTTGGGCATTGTACCCATCCTTTCCGTACCAATTTCGTTCGTGCCGAGTTCCCGCCCGTAATCTCGCCATCGCTTGGACGTCTATTCCCTGTGCATGTTTCGGTTTCGTGCGTGTATTTTTTCGCAGCGTGAACAAAAATGCTCCTCGATGGCCCCTGCCGATAAAACATGCGCGCGTCCGAGCGATGCCAAGCCGATGGAAGGCGGGCGAAAAGTGCGCTCGCCTCTCGTATCCTGTCGATGTTCGGGAACATGTCGAAGGGCAACCTGCGGCGGGCGCCGGCACGGGTGGCGGAGGTCGGGAGAACGGGGGTACCTCGCCTTTCGGGGGGTGTTTTCCCCTTCTCCTTCCCCTCCTCCTCTGTCTTCCCCTTCTCCTACTCCTCCTCTTCATCCTCCTCCTCTTCCTCCTCCTCCTATTCTTCCTTCACCCAGAATCGAGCTTTTTGCTTCTCCTGCACCCCTCTCACCCCCAAAACAAAATTATCCAGTGCGACCCTACCTAGGAGTTGGAGCCCCTAGGAAAGCAGCATTAGTAGCAACAGTAAAGCTAAGCTAAAGCTAAGCTAAAGCTAAGCTAAAACTAAGCTGCAGCTAAGCTGCAGCTAAGCTGCAGCTAAGCTAAAGCTAAGGTACATCTAAACTAAAGTTAAGCTAAAACTAAGCTAAAGCTAAGGTAAAGCTGAGCTAAAGTTAAGCTGACGCTAGGCTAAAGCTAAGCTAAAGCTGAGGTCAGACTAAGGTAAAACTAAGGTACAGCTAAGGCAAAGCTATGCTGCAACTAAGCTGAAGCTAAGCTACCGCTAAGCTAAAACTAAGCTAAAACTAAGCTAAAACTAAGTTTAAACTAAAGCTAAAGCTAAAGCTATAGCTAAAGCTCCCAGGGGACTGGGGGAACCGCGGGGCGGATCCTGGGGGAACCGCCCGGAGCGAGGTCCACTGCCCGGCTTTTTAAGCAAACCGAGTAAGAACCCTTCTAGGCAGAGCCTAGGTAGGGAAACAAAAACATAAAAACGCGGAGCGGCATCCCGTGTTTTTTTTAGGGGGGAGGGGGGAGGGGCTCCTCATCCTCCTCCGCGTTGCTCCGCTCTCCTCATTCCTCTCTCCCCCGCCCTCCTCCTCCTCCTCTTCCTCCCCCCAGAGTCGAGCTTGTTGCTTCTCCTGCGTCAACCTTCCCAAGAAAAACGGGATGCCGCCTCCCGTTATTTTTTGGGGGGGCGGGGGGTGGCAGGCGGCGGAGAGGCAAGAACCCTCCACAGAAGGACTCCCATTGAAACCCCCTACAAGAAGGACTCTTATTGAAACCCTCGGCAACAAGGGTTCATATTGAAATCCTCCACAGAAGGATCCAATGCGAAGCCCTCCACTGAAGGACTCCTATTGAAATCTACCAAAAAAGAATTCCCCAATTGGCATTGCATTGGCATTGGCATTGGGATCGCTTTGGCATTGCGCTGGTAGTGTGTTGGCACTGCTTTGGCATTGCTCTGGCATTGCACTGGCGAATCCGAATTACTCCCTTCGCAAAAGGAGGTTTATTGAAACCCTGCACAAAAAAGGATTCCTATTGAACTCTACCACACAGGATTGTCCCCAGTGGCATTGCATTTGGCATTGGATTGGGATCGCCATGGCATTGGTTTTGCATTATGTTGGCACTGTGTTGGCATTGCGCTGGCGAGTCCTGGACGCTCCAGCCGAAAATTCTTACTAATCCACCCCAACAAGAAGAGTGTCTAGTGACCCCCTCCACACACACACAAGAAGGATCCACATTGTAATTCTCCACATAAGGATTTCATTCGAAGCCCTTCACAGACGGATTCCGATTGAAATCCTCCGAACATGGGTTCGCAATGACATCATCCCAGAAGGATTCTCATTGAAATACACCAAGAGAAGATGACCCAAACTGGCATAGGTTTAACATTGTGTTGGCACTGCGTTGGAAGTGCGCTGGCATTGCGCTGGCGAATCATAATGTCTCCCTCCGCAGAAAAATTCATGTTGAAACCTTCCGCAACAAAATATTCCTCTTGAAATCTACCACGAAGGATTTCCCCCAACGCCGTTTCGTTGGCATCGGATTTGGAATTGGCATTGCGCTGGCGTTGCTTTGGCATTGCAATGGCGAGTTCCAATGCCTCCCGTCGCAGAAGGATTCCGATTGCAACCCCCAGGAGGACTCTTCTAGAAATCTACCACTAAGTATTGCCCCGTTTGGCATGGCATTGGCATTGGATTGGGGTCGCCTTGGCGTTGGTTTGGCGTTACGTTGGTACTGATTTAGCATTGCGCTGGCATTGCGCTGGCGAGTCCGCATGGCTCTCTCCGCAGAAGGACTCCTACTGAAATGTTGTTGTATCTATCTTCCACAGAAGGTTTCTTATTGAAAGCCACCGAGGGAAAATAACCCCCGATTGGCATTGCATTGGCATTGGTTGGCAAAATATTGGTATCGCATCGGCATGAATAACGGTACAGCTTAAGGAAGGCATGCTTCTGTTCGTAGAGAGAGAGGTAAGATCATGATAACGACGAAGAGAAGGGTACAAGCTCATGGAGGAAGAAATCTGGAACACCGAGGTACTCCACAATCCCCCGGCCTCGAGATCGGAGGGGCGGCCTCGCGCAGAACCCTGGTGGCCGCCACGGGCTGCGGCACGCCGCCGGCGCCGAGGTCGTCGTCCGTCGCCCGTCGCCCTTCGCCCGAAGCCCGTCGCCCGTGGGTCGTAACCCGTGGCCCGTGGCCCGTGGCCGTCGCTCGCGTCGGCGTCGGCGTCGGCGTCGGCTTCGGCGTCGTCGTCGTCGTCGTCGGCGGCGTCGTCGTCGTCGTCAGACTCCGTCGCCGCCGTCGTCCGCGGAGGAGGGAGGGGGGAGGAGGAGGGGGAAAGGGGGAGAATGAAGGAGGAATGAAGAAGGAGGGAAGAGGGAGGAGGACGGAGCAGGACGGAGAGGGGAGGAGAAAGATGAGGAGCACGAGGGGGAGGAAGAGGATGACTAGATTGAACGGAGGCAGGAGGAGAACAAGGAGGAGAAATGGAGGAGCAGAGAGGGATGAGGAGCAGAGAGTGAGGAGGAGGAGGAGGAGGAGGAGGAGGAGGAGGAGGAGGAGGAGGAGGAGGAGGAGGAGGAGGAGGAGGAGGAGGAGGAGGAGGAGGAGTTCCAACCCACTCGGTGGAAGGAGGAGGAGGAGGCGGAGGAGTAGGCGGAGGAGGCCCAAACCACTCGGTGCGCCTCTCCGCCGACGCCGAACAGCGACAGGCCACGCAAGTGCACCGTCCGCGCCGGACACGTGCGCTGTGGAGAAAGCAGCGGAGACTCCAGCAGCAGGTGGCGCCCGGCGCGGCTGACAGCCACGCGCCTGGCGCCGCGTGGCCGCGCGCAGCACGTCCAGCGTGGGCAGCAGCAGCCGCCACTGCATCTTGATCGCCATCGCCTCGGAACACCCTCGCACGCTCTTATGCAAGGCGAGCGGCCTCGGCAGCGCAGCCGGCGGCATGGACGGCGCACCACCACCTGCTCCGCGTCGGGGTGCATGTTCACATGGATGACCGTCATGCCCCTTCGGCCCTCGGGGCTCCGCTGCTGGAAGGCGCGGCCCCACGACCTCTACCGCAGGTCATGATCAGGCCCGTGGGGCTTCCGCCCGGGCTGCTGCCACCAGCCGTCGTGCACCGCCAAGTTGTGCGCAACAGAGACGACATCCACAACCCCCCCCCCCCGACGTGACGCAACCCGGGGAACTGAAAGCCGGGCCCGCCGCTCGCATCCCCGAACGCGAACAGGGGGGACCCGCTCTCGCCGTGCACGAGGAACATATTGTCGACGCCCTCGGTGGACCAAGCCTCCGCATCAACAAGCGGGCTAACAACCGTCCGTGGCTTCGGGGACAAGCCGCGGAGCCAGAAACATCGGACGACGTCGCCCTCAGCATACGCTCTGACAATGAGCGGTTCGCTGGCCGCGTACGCCTCGGAGCCCGCGTTACACTCACAATCCCAATGACGGTGGAAGGGGGACTCGATTGCGGCCGCACCGTCCTGCCTGGCTGCCTCCTCGACCTGGCTGCTTTCAAAAAGCTCTGCGTCGGCCACTCGGGATCCAGGCCACGTGCCGCCAACCGCGATGGTGATCATGACATCATGAAGTCGATGCTTTCCCGGGAGCTGACGCAGCTGCCGAAGAGAACGTTTAAGGCCTGAAGTATCCGCGCCGCCTTCCAAGCCCCCGCCACATCGAGGCGCTGCAGCATCGCGACACAGGTCACCTACAACTGTGTCGTCGAACGCCTCCAAGAGCTGCCGACTAGATCCCTCAGCCAGGGCATCTGCGACGGGAAAGGTCTCGGTCAGCATCTCGCGTCAGCCGTCAGGGAGAAGACAAACCCATCCCGTGGGCCCTGCTGGATGCCACCGTGCTCCATCCGGGTGGCCATCAGCGCTGACATGGGCTCGCCAACATGGCGGCTCTGCAGGACGGCCTCAACCTCACGGACTGGATCATCCTCTGGCGCCAGCCTGGATCAGCCTGTCTCAGGGGGCGGCCAAGAGGGGGGGCGTCCAAGAGGGCGGGGCGCAACTCAGGGCCGGAGGCATGGGCGCGGCCCCGGGGGGGGCCAGGGAACGCATTGAAATAAGAAGAGGCGCCACGAAAATTTGGGGAGATGTCATGGCCCCCACCATGATCCCCCCCCCCTAGTTATCATCGTGAGCCATCCTTCGAGAACCTCGCGCGGGAGCTTCCCGCGCCTGGTCGCCATCGCCAACTGCAGCTGGCGCTGGGTGGTCGGGGGCCGCCCCCGCCGAGCCGGCACGGACAGCGCCGCCACCCCGCGCCAAAGCGCCACCAGATCCTGGCCGAAGACGCCCTGATCGCAGTGGGCGCTGGCCCGGCACGGCGTCTTCTCGAGCTGCAGGCACACTCGACATCGCTCGGATGCTCGAGCGAAGCCGCGCACCCTGTGGTGCCGCGAGGCCTGAACTGAACGAAGCGCTGGCGACGAATAACTCGCGCCGCCGTTCTGCGCCCGGCGCCAAGGTGCATGCAGTGGCACGGGGCCGCTGGAACCGCAGGGACACGACGATGACCGTGCCGACGAACCCGAGCAACTGTGTCCCGAAGGCGCTGGACCGCGCACACGACCACGCTCTTGGGTGAGACGGCCAGCCCGCCCCGGACCAGCAGGCCGCACGTCGCGGCGATGCACGTGCCAAGATGCGTCGTCACCTTATCCCCGAGAGCCGACCGCAGACCAAGACAGGTCGTCGACCAAGAGACAAGGAGGAGGAGGAGGAGGAGGAGGAGGAGGAGGAGCGACGGAAAGGGAAGGGAGGAATAGGAGGAGGAGGAGGAGGAGGAGGGGGAGGAAGCGGGGAAGGGAAGAAGTGGGGAGGGGAGCATGTAGGGAATGGAGGAGGAAGCAAGGAAGGGAGAAAGTAGGGAAGGGAGGAGCGGAAGGAGGATAGGGGGGAGGGAAAAGGAATACGTAGGGGACGGGGCGGAGGCACGGTGAGGGCGTGAGGACACCCAGCCGATTGATTTCAGACCCTCTCCCCCGCGCGACGACCCCTGCGCGGCTGCGCGCTCTTGGCGGCGGGGGACCCCCCCGGCGGCGGCGGCGCACGCCACTTTCGACCCCATGGCGACGCGGTAGATGGAGCACAGGGGGCTCTGCAGCACCTGGTGTCCAGATTAGGACTTGGGTGGAGCCCCCCTCCCCCCCTCCCCCCTCCGCCTCGCTCCCCGGGAGGAGGGGGACGCTCCTCTTAGGTCCCTCTTCCCCTCGCCCCACCCCCCCTGCTGGGGCGAGGGTATAGAGAGAGAGAGAGAGACAGAGAGGGAGAAAGAGAGAGAGAGAGAGAGAGAGTGGGAGCTCCCCTCCTCTGCCCCCGTCCCCCCTCCCCCGCTGTCCTGTCCTGCCGCCCCCTCTGCTTCCGAAGCTTCCCTCCCTCCTGCCCCTCACCCCCGCCGCTCCTCCACCCTCCCGCTCGATCGCGACTCTCACCAGTCCTCGAGGGCGTAGGTGGATTAGGGAGCTAGCTCTTCCAACCACCTCCTTCTCTACGAAGGTCTAGAGGGGGTGTTCCGCGAACGGTCAGGGCGTCTATGATGGCCCAAGTTGGCCCCAGAAAGCCTAAGGCGGCATCCAAGGTCGCACAAGATAACCCAAGATGGCCCGACCTAAGTTCCGACATCATTCCCGCCCCAAGCCCGCTACAAAACGGCTCCCAGTGGCCACAGAGCGTCCCGCCCCCCCACCCCCGAGAGTCCGACATCCCTCCAATAGATCAATGGTGCTCGCCGTGTGCCGCAAACTGCCCTCAGAGCGCCCAAGAGTGCCTGAGGATGCGATGTGTCGGCCTACGAGGGACAATGCTTGACCCCCCATCTGTTGGAGGGTGGCCTCCGAGATGGCCCTACTAGGGCACCAGCAGAGCCCACAGCCCCCCGAAAGCGGCCACAAGAGGGCCCCACGATGACTCAACAATGCATCCAATATGCCCGTTGAGCGTGACGGCGTGCCGATACACATACCTGATCAGGGCAACTCACCTGGCTATTGGTGTTGGATGGGCTGGGGTGGATACGCGCAGCGTCAATTACTAGGTGGCTTGATGTTTGGGGATCTCCTGCGTACGTGGGCCCCGCGACTGTCACATGCCTGCTCAATGGGAGGCGTTGCCCATCATGGTTGGTCCATGCATGGATTGGTGGTGCTTCTTCGCACTGCAGGCGGAGCAGAACCATTATCCTTGGGGTGGCTATTACGTGGGTCGGTTAGCACGCGTTCGCCCCCCCCCCCCCCCTGGAACATCGTCCTGCAAGCTGTTCCATTCGGCAACCGCTGCTGCTGACGGGGGCGCGCGAACAAACGCGCCCTCGACCGTGTGCGTATTTCATGTTCCGTGCGGGCCCTCCCGCTCTGGAGGCAGGCCAATCCTAGAGAGCAGACACGATACCTCATAGTAAGCACCCCAGCAAGCGAAGCCGCTAAGTCCACGCACCCAAGCATGGAATCGATCGGGGCAGGGCTGTTCCAACGCCACGGACCGTTCGGTACATGCCAATTCTGGGAATCGGGGTGGTGTGTGCTCTTTTTAGAAGTTCAGCCTCCAGTTCCCCCGCGCCGCTCCCCCTCGCCTCCTCATCCTCCTCCGCCTCCTCATCCTCCTCCTTCCAATGTTCGCGGCGGAGGCGGCAGGCGGTGCGAGGGGGGCTCAGCGGACGACGCGGCGCGGCGCGGGGGCGCGAACGCGCCTCCTCCCCCTTTGCACCCGTCTCCTGCTTCCCTGTCATCTCCTTCCCCTCCTGACGTAGCCAACGGCTTTGGCGGAGCAAACTCATATCATCTCTCTTCCTCCTCCTCCTGCTCCTCCCCCTCCCCCTCCTCCTGCTCCTCCTCCTCCTCCTCTGGGCCCTCGCCCCCTCCTGCTCCCTCTGCCTCCTCCTCCTCCTGCTGCTGCTGCTGCTCCTCCTCCTCCTCCTCCCTCCTCCCCCCTCCCTCCTCCCTCCCTCCTGTTGGTCTCCCGTTGGTCTCATCTCCTACCGCCACCGCTAGCAAAGCCTGCAACGATCTAAACAACAAGGAAGATCAGTCCTGGACGATGCCAAGGAACTCCTCCAGCTCATCGAACCGCGGGCGCAGCCAGCCAGGCAGCCGAGAGCCGCGGGAATCCATGGCGAGGTACTCCTTCCACACCTGCTCTCTGCTCATAGGTCGGCCTCACTTGTCCCGTACGACGGGGTCCTGCGCGTCCGAGTCCGAGCTGGAATCCGAGGCTATCACAAGCTAAAACTCTGCAGCAGAAAGTGGCTGGAAGGCGCCCGTCCCACCAGTGAACGACTCCTCCGTGCCGTCGACGCGCGCGGCAGTGACCACCCCACCACCGACAGTCTTCGCCTCGAGCGTGTTGGAACTGTCCCGCGGCTCGCAGACATCCGCAGGAAGCTCGGGGGCAGGACGGGCCAAACGATCTGTATCATCCGCTGCCTCCGAACCAGACCGCTCTGACGACGGCTCATCTTGCACATCTACAGTAGGTATAACTCTGGCAAGCTCTCCCTCCGAATCGCAGTCTATGTGCACGCCCGTGACACCAGTGGCCGCCGCGGGCTGCTCGCCTCCACCAGCCATGGGAACGAAACACTCGGCCTGGGGGTTGAACATGAATGGGCGGGGAGGTTCCGGAGCCGCGCATCCCAGCCGCCTGCACTCCAGTCTAGGCCCCTTTTGGAAGCCTTTTCGCCTGCTTGTCTGACGCTGCCGCCACGCTGGCGCCGCCGGCGTCTGCGTGGAGGGCTACGTTGCGCCTCCGCACGTCAGGCAGCAGCGGGACCTCTCCGCGAAGGAGGGACAGGAGATGGGGAACAAGGGCGAGGACACGATCCGCCAGTTCCGGATTGTCGCAGATGGCTCCGACACAGTGCACCAGCTGCCCTTGGGAGCCGCGCACCCTCGCCAGCTCCTCTGAGAGTTTGATGATTGCCCTGTCAGCTGAATGGCGACCCACTGCTTGGCCGCACGACGTGCGGCAGGAGTCCGCCGATCTGGGCGATCAACACCATCGCCCTCCCGCGCTATTTGCCCGTGAGCCGAAAGCCCCACTCCCCCAAGTCCCCCACGCCCGCCGCATTGCCCCGTCAAGCTGGGGTCGCAGGATACGCCGGGGGACAAGGTCCAGGAGCAGGGGCCTACGGACAGGCCAGAGCCAAAATTGCTACGGATCTCCTCCCTCTTCCCTCCTCCTCCTCCCTCCTCCTCCTCCCTCCTCCCTCCTCCCTCCTCCCTCCTCCCTCCTCCCTTCTCCTCCTTCTCCTCCTCCTCCTCCTCCTCCTCCTCATCCTCCTCCTCCTCCTCCTCCTCCTCCTCCTCCTCCTCCCCCTCCTCTCCTCCTCCTCCTCCTCCTCTTCCTCCTCCTCCTCATCCTCCTCCTCCTCCTCCTCCTCCTCCTCCTCCTCCTCCTCCTCCTCCTCCTCCTCCTCCTCCTCCTCCTCCTCCTCCTCCTCCTCCTCCTCCTCCTCCTCTCCTCCTCCTCCTCCTCCTCCTCCTCCTCCTCCTCTTCCTCCTCTTCCTCCTCTTCCTCCTCCTCCTCCTCCTCCTCCTCCTCCTCCTGGTCCTCCCCCCCCTCCTGCCCCGCTGCCCCGCCGCATCCCTCCCTCCCGCCCCTGGCCGCGAGAGCGGGGACGCCATCGCGCGAACGGCCGTCTTGGCGGCGAGGTAGATGGTGGGGCCGGAGCCGATGCTGCGCCCGTAGAGCACCACCTGGGTCGCTCCCCGCTGCTGCTGCTGCTGCTGCTGCTGCTGCTGCTGCTGCTGCTGCTGCTGCGGCTGCGGCTGCGGCTGCGGCTGTGGATGCGGCTGCTGCTGCCTGCTGCCTGCTGCCTGCTGCCTGCTGCCTGCTGCCTGCTGCCTGCTGCCTGCCGCGGCCCCGGCCCCCGCCCAACTCCTCTGGAGCGGGTGGCCACCGGGGCCAGGCGTATGAGAAAGTCCGCGCCAGCCGCGCGCCGCCGCCGCCGCGCTCGGCCCCACTACCGCCGCCGCCGCGTCCAGCCTACCTACGCCACTTCCGCCGCCGCTTGCGTTTCCTCCTTCGCCTTTCCTCCGCCCGATGCGGCAGATCGGGGAGAGTACACTCCGAAACCCTTCTTCGCGACGAGGAGACGGAAGAGGAGGCGGAAAGGAGAAGGGGCAGTACGGGAATGGGAAGGAGGAGGAGCAAGAGGAGAAAGAACAGGTATAAGGGGGAGGAAAGGAAGGCAGGGGAAACGACGTGAGATCGTCAACGCGTTGTCGCATGCTGCATTCAAAGATTGTAACAACTGCGGTGTTCAAAAACATTGGGGAGAAAGAGAGAGAGAGAGAGAGAGAAAGAAAGAAGGAAAGAGAGAGAGAGAGAGAAATAACGAGAGAAGGAGAGAGAGAGAGAGAGCGACATAACAACACACACAACGAGAGAGAGAGAGAGAGAGCGAGAACAAAAAAGAGAGATGGAGGATGGGGCAATTAATCGAGAATCATTTTCGGTGTCTCGAGGCTGGCGCTTGCTTGCGTCAAGTAACGTGTCGCTCCACGCAATGGGAGAAAGGAGTACAATCAGATGATGACGACGGGGACGATTGAGCTCCTGCAGATCGCCATCATCATCATCATCATCATCATCACCACCACCACCATCATCATCATCATCACCATCACCATCACCATCACCATCACCATCATCATCATCATCATCATCATCATCATCATCA